CTCGATCTCCCCAACCGCCAATTCCCTGATGACACGGTAGTACGCACTCTGTGAGTCCAGGAATATGTAATGGCAGCACTGCGTCCGGCCTTCTTTTCACTGCGCAAGAAGGCCTGGAGGTACAGTGCAGGGAGCAGCACCGGCGCTCTGCGTCGAGCACCAAGCTGCAGGTCATGTAGGGCTTCACGCATAGGAGGTGCCGCTCGCTCCCGGAGTAGTCGGTGGAAAGCCTTGCCTGGGATGGACGACACAAACAACGACCGATAGCTCGCAACGTCGGCCTTTGCACCAGCACCCTTCCAGGATTCCTGTAGGATGCCCCCGCGCCAGTGTAGTGGTTGGCATACTTGCAGGGTGGCCTTCAAGACAAGCGGGTGCAATGCCCTGGCTACAGCAACCGGGGCCGAGGCCAACAATTCCCCAGGGACGCCGTCCAAGCCAACGGCCTTTCGCTTCGGCGCCATCCTCATCACCGCCTCCAGCTCAAGGATGGTCGGGAGGTCCGCAACCTGCCAGTCCAAGGCATCCTCGACAAGGACCCGGCTGACATCCTTCTGGATCAAGTCCTCCGTGGTCATGACTCGTCCATGCTCCTGTTGCCCAAAGTGCTCCAGCCAAACCTTATCCTTCGCCGCAGCCGTCTCCGCCCAGTTGCCCCTGGCATCAAGCAGGGCCGGCATCGGCCTCCACGGAGCACGTGCAGCTCGTCCACCCAGCCCTGCCTTTTTGACTTGGCTCAGTATGTCAGTGAACCCGTGCCCCTTGGCCAGGGGCATGGCACTCAGGTACGCTGCCTTGTCAGCACGAACTCGGTGGCGGATCCTGAAGGTAGCAACTTTAATTGCTGCAGCCACGACCTCATACATCAGACTCTGCTTCCAGACCATGTCATTCACGGCAAAGTCGGAGTTCTGGGCCCATTGTATGAAGGCCCTGTCCCTGAGGTCTGTCCAGACTCCACGACGGTGTCGGGATCGCTGTTTAAGGGCCATCTTGCGGCCCCGTAGTTCCCATGCACCATCCGAGATGTAGTCGCTATGGGCCACGGCTGGGTCCAAACTGAAATTCTTTTGCATGATCCCATGGGCATACTGCCGAAAGTGCTCGTAGTGGTCCGTCGGATGTGCCTCCCAGGGTGGGGGCTGGTAGGCCCACATAGCATGGTGGATCATCTCGCGGCCCTCTTTGGTCATCATTTTGGCCCCATCGTACCTGGGCCGGAACAGACTGCATCTGTGTCCACTCCCCTGGAACGACCCATGGAAAGCCAGCGCAACCAAATCATGGTCCTCATTGGGGGCCATAGTGTCAAAGTCCTCAGCGACCCAGCTCTGCACGTTGTCTACAACCAGGTGTCCTCCCAAGGCGACGTAGTCAATGCGATGTTCAGCTCCATTGGCCTGTCTGTAAGTAGTGTCCGTCCCAACATGCAGTTCGCTATACGTGGACGGAAACCAAAGGTGGCATTGCCGGGCCACATTTGCCATAGCAAGGCCATTGGCATCCGGTGACCCGCATTCTTTGGTTCCTGTGACACCAGGGACTTGCAGCGGGAGGCGGCCATTTATGTCCAGGCCGCACACGATCAAGCTCGATCTGGCTAGGGGGGACATTGCATCACATAGGTCCTTCATGAAAGCTCGCATGTCATCCCCACGGCCACCATGAGGGGCATGCCCCGAGACCACGACCACCTTGCGGCCCCCAGCATCGATCACCAAGATAAGGAGACGCGGGGTCTCCTTGACAACACGGATGTCGTCTTCCGTAATCTTGTAGGGCCGGCCCGCTTGTAGGAAAAGCCCGTACTGCTTGCTGACCCAGACCGCCACTCCCCAATGGGAGGCTCCGTCCGTACTCAGTCGCAAGTAGTTGCGGCTTTCGCAAACTCCAGCCTTTCCCTTAGCTTCCTGAAAGAGCACCAAATTGCACTTCATGTCCATCAACTGACGTTCGAAGTAGTGGTACTTGCCCCGTAGGCTCTGGGCATTCAGCGTGGCCACCTTCATCTGGATCGGGACCAGCTTGTCATCGTCTTTGCCCACCCGAGTAGTAGGGATGAGCTGGGTCGGAGTAAGGCTTGGTTGTGCCAGGCCAGGCTCCAAGCTCCATGCTAAACCTCCTTGCGGGTCCACTGGGAGCGTTCTTGACTGTCGTGCGTGATGCAGCGGCGCCAGCCACTCAATTGTACTTGCCTGGAAGGCCATGCAGGCTTCCACATCGGGTCTCGGTAGAACGGTGCCTTCCGCAACTGCTTTGGAGAGCACGTCCGCCATCTCATTGTATGGGTGGCCCATATGCGCTTTCACATGCTCCACCACCAGTGGAACTGGGAGGGTCTCCTGCAGGTAGAGCTCCAAGGAGTGGCTCCGACATCCCAGATCATTGAGAGGCCGCCACTCTCCAGTGAGGGCACATCCCGCTGCAGCACAGTCATAATGTAACACATATCTGCTGGCATCCATCAATGCTCTGCTCTGCAAGACCCACAGGAGACAGGTGGCTAGAGCCACCTGTTCGTTGTGCAGTGCAGGGGCAGTGTCTGCAAGCCACACAGATGCCGGGTTGCCATGGGTGTGCTCGCCCCAAAAGCCCATAATGGCTTGTAGTCCAGCGACCACCAACACTGCAACCACCGCATATCCGCCAACACCTTTGTCCGCAGTCCATGACCCATCCGAGTACAAATGAACTTCCGGCTTGACTCCATCCTGCCTGCCGAGGAGCAAGGAGCTCCAATGTACTGCGTCCTTCATCGCAGTGACCGTGGGCGGTTTGTATCGGATCTCACTCACCTGTGGCTCGATCCATTCGGGGTCCCAAACCTTGGACATCCGAGCCAATGCCGAGTGGTCCTCCGGCATGTCAAGCCGGTACTGTGTGATATCAAAAACGGGCGGAGAAAGGAGCGGCATAAGTTCAACCACAGCATCCTCTTCCGATGCCCGTCGCCTTGGGGATCGGCTTCGCCCGTTGACTGGCTCCGGCCTTGGAGGACCATGTGGGCCTGGGCCCGGTGGTGGAGTCCCTTCAGAAAGGTCCGAGGAGTTTGGGAGCGCATCAAATGTGCTGCTGCTGTCCTCCTGTACCATCTCTTGGTCGTCCTCAGACTCCGTGAGTTCCGCTGTTTCTTTCAGGAGGACATTGAGTGTCTCACCATCATACACTCGCAGGACTTCCGGGTCCCCAGTAGTCTCACCTCCCTCGACAATGGTGGTCCACCCATCAACCACCGGGGCATGGATGCTCTCGAGGTAGTCGGTGGTATTGAAAAGCGGCCCCGGTAACTGGACCCACTGAGGGAACAGCCCAATGCCCCTCAGGTCCAGGAACACAATCGTGACCTCCGGGTCATCCTCCTGTGTGCGACGAGGGCCCGGGTTGACCGCAATCTGCTTGGATATATATCGGCCTGCGTGTGTCAGGCCGGCCGCCGGTGACATAGGCGTCCGTATCCAGCACTCGCCAGGAGGGAATCCCATCAGTTGCTCCGCTAGTTCCGCTCGGTGCTGGTCCGCCCCAGGTAGGTCGTAGTACACCAACTGGTCCTCCGGACTCTGGTACACAACATGTTCGTTGTTGTCATCCTCAGGCGGCGCCACCCTGGGGTTCCATCTAGCCGGGTCCGTTAGCCGGTCGGCCAGTTCATCCTCCCAGGTGCACGGCTCACCCGTGTATATCGCCTTGATGACCCCTCCCTGGATGGGCTCAGGCATGTTCACCTCGTGCAGGGGAATCTGGCTGCCGAACAGGTAGAGGTCAATACCTGCCAGGTCCTCAGCAGGTAGGTGTCGCCTGATAGCCGCCTCCGAGAGGGGGCCTTCGTGGTAGAAGGAAAAGAGCTCCCCTCCCACACCACGGTTGTCCATTACCAAGACAAACTTGTCAACCGCCGATACCCATGCAGGCACAACAACGTAGCTTGCAAAGCCTCCTCCAACCTGAGGTCGAGTAGGGAGGTAGGTCTCAGCATAGTCCGGCATCTCCTGGGACGTGTTGCGAAGAGCATCTGCTAACCTTGCAAGGGACAAGGGGAAGCTCATACCCAAATCCGCAACCTCGGTGCCAAAGTACGGCGAGGACAGCCAGGCACTGATGTGGACGGCCCTTCTGTCCTCCTCTTGCAGTACATGCGGCTCCACGTCCCGGCGCCGCTGTCTCGAGACGGGGAGGAGCCATTTCCCCTTCCGAGTGATGAAGGGGGATGGTAGAGAGGAGCTCGTCATGGGCTCGAATGAGTTGTTCCCTGGCCGTCATCTGTCCCGAGAGCCACAATTCAAGATCTGTCTGTCGCGGCGGACGTGTGAGCGTCCTTGCGTGCCCAGGACTGGCCATCACAGCAGCATCACTGCTTCCAGTCTGGGTCGGGGCCCCATGTGTTCCAGCTATGGCCCCAAAGACCACAAGAAGCCGGAGGTTGCATCCCTGTCTCAGATGCCTGGCACGTGGCTTACCAAGCATCTCGCGGCCATACACCCAAATCATGGCCACCAAAACAGACATTTGGATGAGCTGACAGGTCAGTTGCCAACCAATCACCAGCTGGCTGATATAGACCAAATTCACAGCCTCGCTGAAGACAATGTTGTCTTTGACCGCCATAAAGAGATCAAAGCAGTCGAAGATCTTGTTTCTGTAGTGTCCTCTGGGGCCTGGACGGTCGTGGCCTCCCTCAGGGCCGTGCCGCAGTGCTCTTTCAGGACGATTCGGATCACACCGGGGGCAAGCCGTGCCCCTTATACTCATGCTGGTGCCCATGTAAGAACCATGCCACCCTCCACAAAGTCCAAGGCCTGCACATTCGGGGGCGTCTCGTAAGCCAAGAACACCTCCTCGCACAGGTTCCCTGACAAATTGGAAGATACCGCCGGACAAACCGAAAAGGCCGGCAAAATGGTGGTTCCATGGGCCTGTAAACCGAGAGGTCATCACCTGGCTTTGTACACCAGACCCCTCCAATGTATCAGTACATAGGTGGCCTTGCCCTGGGAGAAGCCCTGCTACTCCTCGTTCGGCTTCTCCTCCGCGTCCACCGTCTCCGAGAGGTCGTTGTGCGCCGGCTCGTCCGGGTCGTCCGACAGAATCTCTGTCTCTAACCCGACTCGGTTCGCCTCTCTTCGCTCCTCGAGCTTGTCCGCGAGTCCACGGCCCGATGGCCTCGTCTTGGAGGGTGCCCTGCCAAGGAGCTTCACAGGCGTTCTCGTCCGCGACTTCGGCCTGGGCAGGTGCTCCGGCATTGACATAGTCGTAGTAGAAGGGGAGGCCATATAGGGGTCTCTTGCCGCTTTGTCCTCCTCTCCTGCCATGTTGCTCTTGGCCGGTCTGTTTGTCGCTGGCGGCGTAATGGCCGCCGCATAAGACCGTTTGCTTGGTGGCGTCGCCGGGTCTCCTTCGCGTAGGGTAGCTCGCCTGGCCGCAATGGCCTGCAAGGCTTGCTGTCTGGCAGCCTGCTGATTCCCTCGCCTGCCACCAAGGGCACCACTGACCATCCCAGCCAGGCCCATCGAGTCGTCCTCGTCTTCCTCTCGTAGCAAGTCGTCCCAAGCACGTTCCTCCTCCGGAGTCGGGCCTGCCTCGACTGCAGCCGCTTTGATCCTGCCACCAGCAAGGGCATCCTGCAGCTCGCTGAGGGCCTCCTCTTCGTAGCTGAGATTTGCCTCCTGCTCCTCGCGGAGGGCTTTGGTCAGCTCGAGGTACTTGTTGCGCTCCTTGAGGAAGGCTTTCTTGAGCTTTTCCTGGTAGGCAGCCCACTGCTCCTTCAGGTAGCCCATCTTCTCCTCCGTTTTGCGCACTTTCACCTCGGCCTTCCTCAGGTTGTTGACCAGGCGCTGAGTTCCAGTAACCAGGTCCATAGTCCTGTGGCCCGAGCCCTTGGCTTTCTCGGTGGCCTGTGCCGTCGCTGCTCCCTTTCCACCATTCGGCATCACCATCATCTCGTCGAACGTGGGGAAGATCGGCTCCTCGGCATCCTTCCGGGGGTGTCTCGGCTGGTCCCACCCCTTGTCCTGGCCTTTGCCCCGAGGTCGTCCATGCCAGCCACCATGTGGCTGTTGTCCACGCCAAGATTCTTCCCAGTCTTGCGGCCATTTGTCCTTGCGGCCCATAGAAGATTGGGCTTCTCGGTAGACGGGTGCCGAGTGGTGCGCCTGAAGGCGGGACAGGTCCCTTCTTAGCGGGGCGACGCCCTTGGCCCTTGCTCTGCGGATTCGCAGACGGGCTTTCGCTCTCACGGAGCGCAGTCGCCTGTGCCACGTCGGCGACTTAGGGTGCCGGCCGACCGCAATGGCTTCGTGCTCGCAGCACTTGGGGTCTGTAGGCTATACGACCGCTGTTGGTCGCTCGATCCCAAACCCTACATATATATATATATATGCATAATTTTGTAGAAAGTTGCATAAGCAGCCACGTGCACAATCACGCCCGGTGATTCTGCAAACTAGACTCGTTTTTCGGACTACCTATACTTCCTGCCGAAGCGGCAGACATCCAGGTGGAGAGCCGTAAAGGCGGAGCGGTCCGGCTTCCAACGCTGGGAGAGCTTGGCACGCCTCACGGGCGAGATGGCAGTTTCCGAAAATGTCAGTGGTTCCCAGGAAAAAAGGAGGCCTCTCTAACTCGACTACGTACGGGTTTCACAAATCTTAGAGTACGAACCCCTGACGCAAAACATCGTCGGTCATGCAAGATTTGCCCTGCAGGAGTTTCTGTCCAGGCGTGGCATCAACCACCAGTCACGGCAAACGCAACAACATCTCTTGCAGCCAGGACGTATGCTGAATCTACAACAGCGACCGCAATGACAACAACGACAAAAGGAATAATGATAAGAATAAGACCAAGACGAATAACAAAATGAACACATATCAACAATAATATGGTACCACAACAGCAACTTCTGGTACTAGTGACAGTGTAAGCGGGTTAGCAGGTGCATCACAAGCACTGCCCCGATCTGGCGAGACCCCATAGTCCGAAGCCGAACCCCCTGAATCTGAAACCCTGCATGGCAGAGTAGGCCGCAACGAACCTTCGGGCCTGAACCAGCCTAAACAATCTCAACTTCTCCGGGCCTTTCAAGGACCCTCTTCGCTGCTTCCTTGTCGTTCTCAACGAGGGGAAGGAGGGGCAGATTGCGCCTCGTGGGCATGCATCATGCAGCACTTATGGTCGCAAGTATCATCAATCCGGTGCTGCTGAAAGCCCCGATGGTCCTAAGGCCTGTACGACGGACTAGAAACGTTGCAGTTAGCTGCAGTGGATCAGGGATGCTGTGAGTATGATTTGTGCTTGAGTGAAGAACTTGTTACAGTTGTCGCTGCAGCAGCAGCAGCAGCAGCAGCAGCAGCAGCAGCAGCAGCGATAGCAGTGGCAGTAGCAGTTTGTTGGTGGTGTCGTCTTTGTTGTCTTGGATATTTTGTCTGTTTTACATGTTTTGAGTCGCCTTTGTCGTTTATGTTGTTGTTCCTGTTGCTGCTGCTGCTGCTGCTGCTGCTGCTGCCGCTGCTGCTGTTATCACTGTTGTTGTTGTTGTTGTTGGTACTGCTGCTGTTGTTGTTGTTGGTACAGACAAAAACAGCAGCCCGTACTTGTTGTTAATTAGAAGCAATTGGGAATGCTTCCGGCGACCGCATAGGGTGCCTGTAGAGTTTTGGGAAGTTCAAGCCATGCCTGCCCCATGATAGAAATGCGGTGTAGGCTGGGTGGTTGTTGTAAAAGGGGGGGGTCAAAACAACAGACGGGGCTCCAGTTTTTGCCTCTACTACAGGGGGTAGAGACAAAGGCACCAGCGAAATCAGGACTTTGTCTCTACCCCCTGTAGTAGAGGCAAAAACTGGAGCCCCGTCTGTTGTTTTGACCACCCCCCCTTTACAACAACCGCCCACATTACACCACATTTCCACCACAGGTATAAGAATCTGCGATATCCAGAAGGGGTTCTGATGGGTGTTGGAAGGGCTTGTCTGGAATTTTGAGGGGTTTGCATTGGATACCCGTACACTCAAAACTATAGTTACCAGTTACTATACAGTAGTTTGTACAGGCCTCGCAAATGCATATTCTGCACGGCGGGGACCTGAAATACACACCAAATCCATTGAAAATACACACCAAAATCATTGAAATACACTCCAAATGCACTGAAATACACACCAAATCCACTGAAATACACACCAAATACACACCAAATCCACCGAAATATACATTAAATCCACTGAAATACACACCAAATCCATTGAAATACACACCAAATCCATTGAAATACACACGAAATCCATTGAAATACACACGAAATCCACTGAAATACACACGAAATCCATTGAAATACACGCAATCCATTGAAGAACACACCAAATCCACTGAACTCCGCACCAAATCCATTGAAATACATACGCAATTCACAGAAATACACGCGAAATCCATTGAAATACACACGAAATCCACTGAAATACACACGAAATCCACTGAAATACACACCAAGCCCACTGAAATACAGACGAAATCCATTGAAAATACACACCAAACAGTATACATCACAGGCATCCACAGGCACTGTGTTGTTGTTGTTGTTGTTGGGGGGGGGGGTAAAACAACATGACGGGGCTCCTGTTTTTGTCTCTACCTAATGTACAGACAAAAAGCAGATATATGGGTTGACGGGGCTGCAGTTTTTGTTTGTACCTTGTTGTTGTTGTTGTTGTTGTTGTGGCTGCTCTTGCTGTTGAGGTCGTCGTTGTGGTTGCGTGTTATTGTTGTTGCTGCTGTCGTTCTTGCCCTTGCTACTGTTCTTGCTCTTGTCCTTGCTATTGTTATGAATCTTGTTGATGTTCGTGTTCTTGTAAAAAAACTTGTACGTTGAGAGCTTATGCCAATGGCGCTGTTGCTGTACCCGTAAATGAGCCCGTAAGAAGAACCCTTCAAAGAACTCTGCAAAGCCCTGACTGTAAGCCCCCTTCCCCAGTGTCGCGGCGGCGTGACCGTCCCAAGCGCGATGCGATCTCAAGCGGGCCTTCACCTGGAGAAGAAAAACCGATGGTTTGGGGTCGTTTAGGGTTGGAGGTTAGGGTTCAGGCGTGTGTAGGGTGTCTTTGCAGGGTCCTTTTCAGGGATCTGTAAGGGTATCATGGGGGTGGTAGGGTTTGTTTAGGTTGAGGTTCCAGGGTTAGGGCTTGCAGCACTACCGAGTTTACATCGGGGTGTTCACAGTCAATTTCGGAAGCTGGTGCTCTTTGAGAACTGTTGTTGGAGCAGGGGCTGCTAATATGCGGGGCTTCAAGATTAGAATAGCTGTGGGATGCATTATAGTACGACTGTATTGAGACCAGGCGGGGATAGTACTACGGTTGATGATATGAATCCTGCATTACCTTCATGGCCCTAGACTATGGGAATTATGGTATATGCCTTATTCTGGGTAGGAGATACGGTTGATGTTATACATCCCGCATTACCCATAATAAGGAATATAGGGGAATTGGGTTGGGGGCAGCGTGCTTGGTCCTTGCACAGATGGAGTCTTTTGAAGCAATAAGCAATACAGGCATCAACCTACTTAGAATAGCGTTTCGAGGCTGAAGGATAGTGTAACTAGGCTAAGGAACTCTGAGGAAGAATCATTCGCAATCTTTGAGGCTTCTCTTGGGGAGCTTGGACTAGGTCTTGATTGCGCTCGGATGCAGGGAGGGTGCCAGCTTGGACCCTCAATCGTTTCCCGAAAGGGACCCTTACAGGTAAAGTTCAAAATCACTGTACTATAGTGACTATAATGTATTAAAACCCTGAACCCCCAAACCTGGACCCTCCAAGCCCTAAACTCGAAATCATGAACGGAATTGATGAAGACCCTGACCTCTGAACGACAAAACCCTTGAAGGATACCTTGAAGGAACTCGAAACGTATGGGACCCCATTATAGAACCCTTCATTCAGTACCCTTTCAGGGAACCCTTGTATTATAGAACCCTAAAGTACCCTTAAGGGAGCCCGAAAAAAGCTCCCGGCCATCGGGGCCAAGTTCTGCTGGAGGATCAAAGCCCTTGCCAGGTCTGCACCGAAAAGCCTCGGCGAAGGCAAAGAGGGCACCGGAGTTCCCGCAGCTTTGAGGGCTCAGAGCCCCGAAGGTTTTGGAGTTTAGGGCTTGGGGTTTAGGGTTTAGGGTTTAGGATTTAGGGTTTAGGGTTTAGGGTTTAGGGTTTAGGGTTGTGGGGTTAAGTTAAGGGTTATGTACGGTCTTAGGGTTTATAGCTGGGGCTTTGGGCTTTTAGGGCTGAGTTTGTTCTAGGTTTCGGGCTTTAGGGCGAAAGGGCGTCTATGCTTTGGGGCTGGGAGTTCGCGCCTTCAGGTTTTGGGGGGGGTCTTGTTTGAGCTTCAGGCCGTAGGGCTCACGGCTGTTGAGGCTTTGGGCCTTAGGGTTCAAGGCATTTCAGCTTTAGGGCTTCTTAAGTTTCTTAGAGCTTAGGGCTCTTAAGTTTCGGGTTTAAGTTTTGAGGTTCGAAGTTTAAGGTTTCAGGTGTTGGGGCGACACGGCCGTTCAGGCACAAGGTTTAGGGCTTGCGGCTTGTAAGCTCTAGGCTTAAAGCAAGGCGGTTAAGGCTTAGGGGCTTCGGGCCTTGAAGGCTTAAGTCCAGCGTAAACCGTAAACCCTGTAAACCCTAACCCCCTGAACCACTAAACCCCTGAAACCTAAACCCCTGAAACCTAAACCCCTAAGAAGGCCCTATAAGAATCTGCCAGCCAGAGACATCGCCGGTCGCTGAGACTAAGGCCTCGATCTCCCCTCTGTAGGATGTTCATGAAGGGTGTAGGGCTTAGGGCTTGGAGTTTAAAGGGTTCGGGATGATCTTGCCCCTCCTCTTACGGAGGAGCATATATCCGAGCACATTCACTCCGAACTCCTGAACCCCCACCAGTGTGAAACCTATCTCCAGTGCCCAGAACCTGATAAGAGGAGACCAGGACTCCGGTCCACTATGCGACGGCCGCACATGCAAACTCTACATGCCAACTGCCCATAATTTGGGCTCTCAGCTTGGAAGAGAACTCCAAGTGTCAAACTTAACGACACAGAATCATCGATTTCCAACACCGTCCCTGAACCATCAACCCTAGGCCGTGTACCTCAACCCTGACAATCCACAACTCTAACCCCCTGAACCCCAAATTTCCTGCAACACCCTAAACCCGAAAGCCCTGAGCCCTAAACCCCCAAGTCTTGACAACACAACCTCAAGCTGAGATTCTGAAAGCCAGAAAGCCCGATCTCTTCTTCCATCCACGTGACTAGCGAAGCCCTCACTCACCACTGTTGCATCGGTGCTGTTGTTCTAAACCCGGATTCCTTCGACCTTATTGCGTTGATGTCTTAAGTCACCAGCATGACCCCGCCATTTGCCCCTCTGTTTGAAGAGCCCCCCACTGGAGTCGGAGAGGTGTGAAGGCCACGACTGCGGTGCCCCTTGGATGGGTCAGCAGATGGCGCTTTCGGGTCTGCAGCTTGGGTCTCGGGTTTCTTCGGCCAAGTACGCTGAAGGTTTCGGTCTTCAGCATGAACCCTAAGCCCATGATCCCTAACCCCTCAATCAGTAGAGAAGAAGCAAGGTTCAGGGTGGAGGATTCAGGGTTCAGGATCTATGGGCGGCATGTAAACCTAAAATCTACACTGGGCAACCTGAGCCCTGCACTCTTACCTATGGTAGGCTCACGGAAATCAGCTTAGGCTGAGAGTCTTGGTTCAGGACTTTGTGTTTTGGGGCTTGGGGTCAAAACTCGGGCTGAGGTTTTCCGGCTTACAATGCAGGCTGGGTGATTCTTGACGATGTCCAGCTTCAATACCACATGGGTGGTTGTCAAAAGTATGGTCCTTTTTTGGGTACCCTAAAGCTTGGTGCTGTATAATAAGGACTCAAACAGAAACCCAATATTGACAACCACCCGAATGCATATAGCATGAACCTCCCGGGACCCTAAACTCCCACGGCCAAGACCCTCAAACTGCTGAAGCCGAAACCCCCAAACCCTAAACCCTAAATTGCTCAAACCCCAGACCCTAAACCCTTAAACCCCAAACCTCGAACCCCCAAACCCTAAACCCTAAATTGCTCAAACCCCAGACCCTAAACCCTTAAACCCCAAACCTCGAACCGCTAAACCCTAAACCCCAAATCGCTCAAACCCCAGACCCTAAACCCTAAACCCCAAATCGCTCAAACCCCAAACCCCTAAACCTCCGAACCGCTAAACCCTAAACCCCAAATCGCTCAAACCCCAGACCCTAAACCCCTAAACCCCAAATCGCTCAAACCCCAAACCCCTAAACCCCCAGACCCTAAACCTCGAACCGCTAAACCCTAAACCCCAAATCGCTCAAACCCCAGACCCTAAACCCCTAAACCCCAAATCGCTCAAACCCCAAACCCCTAAACCCCCAGACCCTAAACCTCGAACCGCTAAACCCTAAACCCCAAATCGCTCAAACCCCAGACCCTAAACCCCTAAACCCCAAATCGCTCAAACCCCAAACCCTAAACCCCTAAACCGTAAAGGCCTCCTAAACTTAACGATGAGACTCCGAGGCCTGAAAGCCAGCGAAAGAGGGAGGTGCATTGGGTTTTGGGGGTTTGGGGTCCGGGGGTGCGGGGTCCGAGGGTTTAGCGTTTAAGGTACGTATCGTTATGCAAGCATGAAGGCACCAACCCAAAACTACCAAAAACAACTGCAGTGTTTCAGCAGGCGCTCCCTGTTTGTGTAAATGCAGATACCACATAAAGCTGTCAACCAGCACTGACTCGTCGATGTCTAAAGCCTCCTCGATAGAGAGCCATGTTTCCAAACGATCACTTACTTCCAAGTGCCTACATTCTGCAGAAGTGTTTTGGAAGCCGGCACACTTTGTTTGTTACGATGCTTTAGGCTTGAGGGCTTCAGGGGCTGGGGTTGGAAGGGGCTTGGCAGGTTTAGGGCCAGGTCTGGAAGCCGTGGCTATATGGGAAGTTCTCTAAACGAGGGTCCTCTTGCAGGTCCCCACAAAAGCACGGCACCCCTATAACCAGAACCCTAAAAGGGACCTCTAATTTAGAGAACTACCCATATGACTATACTCCCTACTATAATCCCCATTCTAGAACCCTTATAGATCCCTTATAGTAACCCTTTAAAGGGACCCTTAGGTACCCCTAAACCCTAAACCCATGGGGGAACTTCCGGTCTGATTTCAATCGGAACGACCATTGCTGCCCAGGCGGCAGCGGCGGGTCCTGGCCGGCTGAGTCGCTTCGCCCTGGAACCCGAAACCGCAACCCTGCAACCCTAAAACTCTAAAAACCCAAAAAACCCGAAGACTGAAACCAAAAACCCGAAGACTGAACCCGAAAACTCTAAGATTGAACCCTAAACCCCTAAACCCTAAACACCCAAGAAACTAAAGACTGAAGCCCTTGTTGATGTGAGGTGGTCCTCCCCACCGCAGCCGAGGGCTCCCTCCTCCTCGACCTGGTTTTTTTCGGACTTCGAAAAGCTGTTGGCTTGGGCGTAAGAGGGGCCTTAATAACTGGAATAGGGTTCCTTTAAAGGGATCCTTAAAGGGTTCTATGAGGAATCTATGAGGGTACTATAAGTATATAGGGGCCTTAACAGCTAGAACAGGGTTTTGGTGCCGGCTATGCTATAAATATGAGGAACCCCCCCTCCCCCCAAATACTTTTGGAATTATTCAGGCTCCTTTATTAGGGCTTAGGGTTCAAGGCGCTCTCTGAAAGAAAAGTAAGCCACGGACTCCCTGCACTAAACAATGAGCAGAACGCCTTTGTCACCATCCGGTTTAGGGTTTAGGGGTGTATTTAAGGGTTTTTAGGGGTTTAGGGTTTTAAGGTTTTAGGGGTTTAGGGGTTTAGGGCTTTATAGCTTAGCGGTTTAGGGGTTTAGGGCTTAGGGAGTGAGCACATGGGAGTCTACTGTCCTCCTGCACGCCATCCAGGGAATCCACCCCAGAGAACCCAAACCAAACCTCGAAACCCCAAAAGGCGCACTCCAAGCCCTGCAACCCCACAAAGCCTAAAGCTTTTTTAACTGAGTCACTGAAATAAGGGACCCCAGCATAGATGCTCCCTGGCAGTATGCTTGATACAAGAACCACCGAAACATGAACCGGGACCGAAGAGCTTCACAGAAATATGGCGCATGATATACATCCTACACTACCCACAAGAAGGAGTATACCATAATTCCCATGGTTTAAGGTATTTCTGATAATGCAGGATTTATATCATCAACCGTATGTGGGCAAACGGAGTTCCTAAGTTCCAGAAACCTCAGCACTGAACCCTTAACTCCAATGCCGGGGCCTTAATCATTTGGACACTGTGTTGGCGGATAGAATGACTTGACTATTCCAAGCTTCGTCGGGAGCCTCAAGAAATAGCATTACTCTAAACTTCAAGCTTATATGGGATATCCCCTATTTATCTAGACATATATGTATATATATATATATATACATATATATACATATGTATATATGCTTATGTCCTTTGGGGGGTCCCTAATCATCCCCCCAAAACCCCCAACCACACCGAGCGGCGGCATTGACGTCCACGGAGCCCCAGAGCGAGGCCTTCCAAAAACCCGAGGGCGGGTGATTCGGCTTTAGGCTTTAAGGGGGTTCAGGGTTTGGAGTTTTAGGGTTTAGAGTTTTAAGGTTTAGGGTTCCAGGGTTTAGGGTTCCAGGGTTTAGGGTTTTAGGGTTTAGGGTTTTAGGGTTTAGAGTTCCAGGGTTTAGGGTTTTAGGGTTTAGAGTTTTAGGGTTTAGAGTTTTGGGGTTTAGAGTTTTAGGGTTTAGGGTTTAGGGTTTTAGGGTTTATGCTTTTAGGGTTTAGGGTTTTAGGGTTCAGGGTTTTAGGGCTCTAGGGTTTTAGGTTTCGGCTTGCGGGGTTAGGGTTAAGGTTGACGTGTGATAGGCTCAATTAGAGAGGAGTTTCGGGGGTTGAGCAGAGCAAAGGGGGTTAGGGTCACTTTACGGGTGTAATTTCAGGGTTTAGGATCCTGCAGGGGTGCTACAAGAGCTGGAACAAGGGGCTTGGGCTTGGAGTTCAGGGCTTGGGGCTTTAGTTTTTAGGCGAGAAGGTTGAATGTTTAGACGCTTGGCGGCTGTCGGGAGCAAAATTTGCGGCATATGCGCGGGTCAAGAGGCTCGCGGACAGATCACCAAGGAATTCGAGACAGACCAGATATGGCTTGCAGAGACTGGGCTGCGTCTCAAGTTGTCTTTACTTGCGGGACCCTAAACCCTAAACCCTAAAACCCTAAACCCTAAACCCTAAACCCTAAACCCTAAAACCCTAAACCCTAAACCCTAAACCCTAAAACCCTAAACCCTAAACCCTAAAACCCTAAAACCCTAAACCCTAAACCCTAAACCGTGTAGGATCAGGGTTTTTCGGCGTTGGGTCTGGGGATCGCGGCTTGGCGCTGAAGGCTTCAAGGGGTAGAGCTTAGCGTCTCAGGAGTTTAGGGTTTGAGGGTTCTTAGCGTCTTAGGAGTTTAGGGTTTGAGGGTTCATGGGGCTTAGGGCTCATGGAGTTTAGGGTTTCGGGTTCAGGATGTCAGTCTGGCTTTTGCTGACGCTTGCGCGGCTGTAGCTGTTGGGAAAGGCAATCATCAAGCTGGGCAAACTCATTTACAATTACGGCCCTCCATTCACTAAGCAATAACGGAAACTCAAAACTATCCCAAATCGACGCCAAGGTCGCAGTCGGGCTTAGGGACTCAGAATCAAAACATCCTCCTCCAGTCCCGAAAGCCAACAGCTGCCGAAGGTACGAAGAGACCGGTGCCTCGATGGTGTAGGCGTTCGTAATACCCAGATCCTGGCGGGAGCTCACCGCATCTTCCGCGCGCGATCGTCTAGTTCGGGGTCTCGGATTGAGGGCTGAAAGCGATTTAAGGAATTCGTAGGGGAGGAGCCAGAGTTGGGTTTAGGGGCTTCAAGGATACACCCGTTCAGCTTCGAGCTGAGGGCCGGTCCTGCAGCCAAGCCGACACATCGATGAGTCTTCGGCGCTTTGAGCCACTGAGACTGTGGGCTGAATTAAGATGGGTGGTTGTCAATATTAGGGTCCCTTTTTGGGTCCTTATTATAATACGGCACCTAATATTTAGGGTACCCAACAAGGGACCATTATTTTGACAACCACCCAGATAGTTCCGAGCGGCGTCTGACTCTGAACCCTGAACGCAAACCCAAGCTCCCTGGACTTCCCTGAACCAGAAACCCTCAACCCTCAGCCCTAACTAAGCCTAAACCTTAAACCCTAAACTGCAAACCCAAATAGACCGAACCCATCCTCCCCGAACCTAAACCCTACAGACCCCACCTTAACCCTCCTAGGGACCCTTAGGGGGGTAAGTTTTTCGGTCCTTATTAGGGCATTAAGGCCCCCTACCCGGCACTACCCCCGCTTCCCCCCCCGTTTAAGGGTCCCTATGATACTGTTGATGGACAAAATCCTGCATTGCCCATTATAAGGAATATACCATAGCTCCCATAGTTTAGAGTCCTCTGTGGTCATGCAGGATTTTGTCCATCAACAGTAACCGAGCCCAAAAGCCACCGAAGGGCTCCAGTCCTTTGCGACCACCACGCGGCCTGTGCCACGCTTCCCCTTGCCGACCTCGTCAGCAAAGTCTACTGGGGAACTTAAGGTGAACCTTTGGAAGCATATTGAGATTTGAGGGATAATAGGGATTACGGGGCCAAAAAATGCTCAAGGGTACAACCCTCTACTGCTCGGTAGTTCTACTGTCCGATGAAAGTCTACTGCAGGGTTTACGGTTTGCGGCTTAGGTCTAAGGGGGGGTTAGGTTTGGGGTGTGGGGGTTTGGGGTAGGAGTTTTTGAGATTTGTACGCATGATGTATATAATATGTATACGAAGATTTTCGTATGTACTTATTTTTGCTACACACCCTCTGTGGTTTAGCACTCATTTCCTTAGCTGAGCGGTTTTGGAATCCCGGGGCTTAGGATTTCGAGTTGGGTTTGGAGTTTTGGGTTAGAAGCCGACACATTGAGAAGCGTTCCTTACTCGGTGCAAAGGCTATCACATTGAAGCGAGGTTCAGGGTTTAGAGCTTGAGGGCTTAGGGCTCCATATCGAGTCCGCCCTAACCCTTCCTCGATCAACCGCACAACGAGATCCTGGCGGTCCACCGGCAGCTGTTCATGTTGAACTCCGGTATCATCAAAGACCTAGAGGCCACTCACTGAGAGATGCGTGGGGGCTGTTCTAAATTATGGTCCATCTCCTGGCACCTTCGTGCGGACTAATAGTCTAGACTCGGAACGCCAAGAACTCGATACGAAAAAAGCCCTCCAAATACATCGTGGCCGATTGGACTGGGTTTTCGGCTCAGGGTGCAGGGCTCATGACGTTAAATCCAGAGGTTTCGGTGCCGGCATGGGGTCTCGGGCTCAGTGCTGTGGCTAACCGTCTATATATGTCTGTGAGTAATGGTGGCCCGAATCAAAGCATAACTAGGTGCTAGGCTAAGCCACGAAGCCCTGACAAGGAACCCCCTAAACCGCTGAATCCCCGCGTGCGCTACCTCCCCGGCTCCCTAGCACTCAGCTCCCTGCAAGAGCTTCGGATACATCCGAACAGTGAAGCGGCGGTGGTCCTCCTGCGGGGCAAACGCCACAGTCCAGCAAATGCAACTCCAAGTCTTCCTGTGTTGAACTAGCGACAGTCGTGCAAAACCCTACATGCCTAAGCCCGAAACCCTCATGCGCCTAAACCCCTGAGTTTGCTGGAAAGCCTCAAAGACCCATACACATAAGCTTGAAAAAGCAGCATTCCCTTATCGTCAGCATGTCATTACTAATCATCTACCGACCCCAAGACACAGTTCAAACTATGCAGGCTCCTCTCTTATATCCCCAAAGCCCGGGAGTTGCATATAACCCTAGGGATCCTGATGCAAACCTGCGGATCCGTCTCATGAGGACTCCTAAAGCTGGGAAATCCCCCTAGCCCTAGCCTAAGAGTCGGGTTTAGGCTGTCGGGCTTCAGGTCCCAAAACCAGAACCGAAAAAAAAACAACCTTAAATCCTAAACACTAAACGCGACACCGAGCAACCTCAACCCAACAAACCTGCAAGGTCATGCGAACCTCTGCAAACTGGCCGCAGGCGTAGGCAAAGATGCCGCACTTCCGGGAATGACCGTGCCTGGTGTCTGGGTTGATATGCCTTTTGGGTTTAGGATGGTTCACGTTTTAGGGGTCAGGGCTTAGGGCTTGAATACATTTCAGGGTTCTCTGGAGCTTCAAAGTTAAAGAGAACCGCTATAGAGCGCTCCATGTGGGGTTGTGGACGGGTGTTAGAACTGCAGGACCTATGGTGAAACTTGTGAAATTGTAGTGTAGGATCTGAGTGTTAGCACCACCGAAAACCGTGGGATGTAGACAGTTATGTGCGTTACATCTGTCTTGTCTTTAAAACTGATTGATAACCGGAAAAAGCTACACAATGCCGAAACCGCAGAACCCAAACCACCAACCACCCTACACTCTGGTCTAGCTACTATAATGACCTCAAAGGAACCTTTAAAACATATCCGAACCCCGTACAAGGATCCCCAAAAGGAACCCTGAACCCTCTGGGCCACCGGCAGGTCCAGGTATGTACATAGCTTAGACCGGCTCTTCGCCACCTGGAAGGCGACCGGGGTGTAGGAGTTCAGAGACTCCGGGCCCTGAACCCCGAAGCCCCTAAACCCTACACCCTCTTACACCCCGAAACCCCAAACCCTACATCCTAAACCCCCGAAATCCTGAACCCTGAGTGTGGGGTTTGGGGCTTCGGGCTTTTCGGCTGAAGTACCCCTTCACAATACAATCATGGTAGTGTAGTAATCCCAACAGCCTAATTGTGGAGGAGCTGCTGTTGGCCTGGAAGTCTGTGGATTTGCACTATAATGCTTCAGCTCAGGCGTCCGATCAAGGAGGCCTTGATAAGAAGAGCGGGGCTTCGGTGTTATGTTGTGGTCTAGCTAACCAATGGTTTTGGGGTTCCCTTGGCTCTTTAGCTCCTTATTAAGTAGGGATTATCATCACCCCTGGCTCCTTAGCTCCTCCAATATCAATGGTCAGATAGCTCTACAAGGCTTTAGGGGGAGGCGCTTCCGCTCTTTGTTTATGGCTTAGCGGGTCGGGTGTTCCAAGATTACGGGCTTCGGGTCGTGACCACCAACACCCCGAAGCCCAAACGGGCCGAACCCTGAGCCGTAAATCCTATACTCTACAAGTCCTAAGCTTACCTTTGGTTAGTAGGGAATGGAAGAGTGGTAGTAATAGTAATTAGAATTGTACCCCATTCCTCCATTCCCTTCCTAACCAAAGGCAAGCAAGCTCACAAACCACAACCGCACCTTATTGCACCGTCATCCGGCGCGCATAAATCTGGAAGCCCGAAGAGTTTGGGTGTTTAGGGCTTAGGTTTGGCAGTGCTCTTGGTCTCAAACCGAATGCGGGGATGGAACACCCAACGCTCGAAACCCTGAAAACCCTGAATATCCAAAACCTTAAACCTCGACACCCTGACAGGAATAAAGCTCAAGTAACATCGCAAAACTTTAACCACAAATCCACCTCTCAATCATCCTGAAGCCTTACAGCGCTAAATCTCTCAAAGCCTCAAGCCCCAACGAACACCTATACCCCAAAGAAAAGACCATGGTGAGACAGAACCCAGAGGGCCAAGCCAGCTTCTTCAGCTTGAAAACCTGATGCTTTTCATCGGTTTATCAAAGGGGAAAAGGAGGGACCCTTAATGGGGACCCCTATAATAGGCTATATAATGGGTATATTTTAGCTATTCTAAGGGTATATACCTAGGGGTCCATGGAGTTTCAGGATCTTTTGAGGGCTTCCTTAAGGGTTCCTTCAGGGCTACGACGCCACGAGGGCTGCTACAAGCCGGTTCAGGGCTTAGAGGTTCCGGTGAAAAAAACCTTCGGGGTTTAGGCAGGGTTCAAGGTTTAGGGTTTAAGGTTTAGGGTTTAAGGGGCACCATGGCTTGGGGGGCTGAAGGTTTTGGCCTTGTTGTGTAGGGTTTGGGGCTTTGCGTTCAGGATTTGCAATCCCAAGGACAGCCCATCAATCCTGCACCCTAAACCCCCAACACTAGACCCCAAGAACTAAACCCCAAACCTTAAATCCCAAACCCTAGACCCTAAACCCTAAATCCCAAACATCCTGTCGGTTTGTCTGTTTTGGAGGGTGGCTCTCAACAGCTCGGCATTCGAAGCCGGGCATTCAGATTTGGGGTTTCAGGGTGTAGGGGAGTTTAGGGATTTTGGGGCTTAGGATGGTTTGGGGCTTTTGCGGTTTAGGATGGTTCGGGGTTTTGAAGGAAGTTTTTTGGGGATGCGGGGGCATCTTTGTAATGAGACCGGGTTCTGGGGAATATATGCAGTCTTTGGTATTAACGCTTTCTCGGGAATGAAAGTGCAAATGCAGCGGGTATGTGAAATTAAGTTATATAGGAGAGGAGAGGAAAAGCTGTCTGGCTACTTCTTGAGACTCCGCGTGGCTCCTGCTTTGCCCAGGATAGTCGGCCAGGGACACAAAGGGGAAAAGCATGCGTTTCGGGGGCTCCTTGCAACCGGGATCCAGTACGATTTGGGGTCGGTGTTAGGACGCCCCCTTTCTGCAGCTCCCAAGTACGAGGGAACTAGCCAGTCTTTCGACCGGAGCTTGTGGCGTGAAGGGATCAGAAGGACACCCGTTCCTCAAACCCGAAACTCCGCCTAAACCCCTTAGCCCTAAACTCTAAATCCCCTAACCCTAAACTCTAAACCCTAAACTTTCTAAACCCGAAACCCGAAACTCCTAAACCCCTCAGCCCCAAACTCTAAATCCCTTAACCCTAAACTTGAACCGGAAGCCATGCAGTCGACACCCTCGAAGCTTCACCAAGAAACCCCAAACCCAAAATCCCAAAACCCCCCGAAAGTGCGATAGGGGAGTTTCCGAAAATTAGGGATACCTTATTTGGGGGTCCTTATAATAAGGATCCTAGTATTTGGGGTGCTAGATTAGGGTCCCCTATTTTCGAAAACTCCCATAGCTCCGCAAGCCCCCGAAACCTCAAAACGGTAGACTAGCAACGGGGAACCCAAACCCAGGTATGGCAGCCCTATGATCAGAGTAGGGCTCGATGTATGTCCTACTCAAAGTAGCCATACTACGGAGGATGGATGGTATCGGTAATGTTCCCCATCACAAACCCCAAACCCTGGAACCCGAATGCCAAGCCCAGCGCAGGAGCATGGAGAAGTTCGTGAGGAGAACGCCACTGGCGATTGAGGTCCATTCCTCGCAAAGAGTGTTTCAGGGCTTCGCGCCACAGTTTTTAATACCCTATAAGGAAATCATAATAAGGAACCCTAAAAGGGTAGGTTATTAAGGGTTAAGGTAGTGTTTAGGGTTTAGGCTTTGGAGCTTCTAATAAATAGTATCCCCTGGCAGTCCTTGTATACCTGCGCTGTACTATAGCACCAAAAAAGGGCCAGATTTTTCTGACCCCAATATTGCACCCTGTTCCCTAAGCCCTAAGCCCTCGAAGATTAGGGCTGAAGATTTGAGCCACTACCGCAGCTTTAGGATTGGTTCAGCGTTCTCAACCCTTTTGCACTGAAACCAAGAACCCTAAGCAGCTTTGGGGGTTTGAGGACTCTGGTTCGGGGCTTCAGGGTTTTCAGTCCAGGACGTAGGGGATTCAGAGAATCGGTCAGAGAATCTCAGAGCCTCCTTAGGGTTCAGGGCTCAGGGCTTAAGGTGCCCAGTGTAGGATGCACCGAAACCCTGAGCTTCAGATCCTCAAGAAAGAAGCCCCGACACAGTAGGCGCTAAACCCTAAAGCCCTAAACCCTGAACCCAAAACCCTGAGCCTGTAGGGCTTACATATCTTCGGTTAGCAGGTAATGGAAGACTAGTAGTAGTAGTAGTAGTAGTAGTAGTAGTAGTAGTAGTAGTAGTAGTAGTAGTAGTAGTAGTAGTTATAGTTATAGTTATAGTTGTACCCCATTCCTCTATTCCCTACTAACCAAAGGTAAGGTTAAGGCTATGTGGAGCAGGACGGCCTCCGGACAGTGGCGCTTAGGGTTTAAGCGTAAGGTTCAGGGCTTGGGGCTTTACAGTTAAGGGCTGGGGGCTTTTGGGTGAGCCTGTAGTGCCTGGGACGTGTGCACCAAGAGACAGCATAGCCTTTAACACTCTCGCGACACCCCTAACTACGCTTTGAGAATCTAAACCGTAAACCCCTAAACCCTACCCCCGACCCTAAACCCCCAAAGCACTAAACTCTAGACCCCTTAACCCGAAACCCAATAACTCGGAACCCAAGACCCACGGTTGGATCCCGAGGCGTCAAGCCGTGCTCAGCTTTGGCATCTCATGTAGAAGCCTGATTAATATGGGGGCCTTCATATTTAGAATGGGGTTCTTTCAAGTGGCTACTAAACGGGCCATGATGAGGCTGCTAAGGGTTTAGTTCAGGCCCCCTATATGCGTTGATGGTATTACTAGTAAACTACTCCTTCCATATGATTGCTCTATTATGATATGCCTCGAAGCCCTGCCTTTTGGCTTCCAGACTGGCACCATGGGCTTAATTGAACTTGAGGGTCCGAGTACGTACTTGATCAGATTGTGCTCTGTCGTCCTTGAACCCTACTCTAAACCCTAAACCTTTTATTACGCATCCCACTGCATCTCCGCTGAGCCCCGCACCACAGAGACCGCAACGGTAGTTTCCACCTGGGCCCCGGGCTCAGTCGGGGTTTCAATAGAAGGGATACAGGGTAGGTAGCATGAAGGATCCCTTGCATAAGGACTTTTATTCGGAATTACCGACCCCCGGAGCTTCGGGTTTAGGGGTTCAGAAGCTTCAGGCGAGGAAGTAGTCTGAAGGCTGCGGGTTGCACCCCAAAAATACCCGAAATGCGCGAAACCCCCCCACCCCCAACCGCCCCCCAAGGCTTCAAACAGAGGTTTGACAGGTTAAAGTAGGGCCTTCATGATTCGAACGGGGCTTTGGGGTTATATTATACCATGTTTCGGCTTCTGGGCCGGGCCGTTGAGGCTTCGGGCCGTGTCGCGCAAGGCTCTTGCTCAGGGCACCACTGAGAACGCCATCGGGGTTGAGCATGGGCACAACCATCCACACCTCAATGGGCGACTCCTCCTTCGTTCGAGTTTTTAGACTTGTTTTTGTTAAGCTCCTTTTTCCCAGTCACAGGTCCAGCTTCCAAGAAGGCCCTGGGGGCCAGGAGGACCCGACAGCTTTACAGCCGGCCAAAGAAGAAAAGTCAGTTTTTAGGGTTTAGGGTTTAGGGAGATTGGTACTACTTTCATTGCCAGCTTTCGCTATCTGTTGCAAGTGCCTACTCTGAATGCTGCCACCTCTCCTGTTCGTCTCAGTAGCTACCAGCAGCTGCAACTCTGAGATCAACAGAAGCCGGGAGAGCAGAAAGCTGAACGCACTCTCAGCTTCCAGCGAAGTTGTCTCGAAGGACCTGCATTCGAGACACTGCGGCACTTACAAAACTCTGTGTTTGGGAAACTCGAGGTTCGACCCTGACTTTGTGGAACAACCCTGGATTGTGTTTCGAACCCCCAAAAATCCTTCATCCTAAATTCTGGATCTCTTCGGAGTGAACTCTTGTCCCGAAAACCCTACATACCCAACCTTAAACACTACCTCTTTAAATCCTAAGGCACATGCACCCTAAACTCTCAAGCCTCACCAAAGAACCCAAACGTGGGCTTTCGTGGTTCAGAACAGTTGTGCTTGGCACTTTCTCCTCTTCAAGAGAGACAGCCAAGAACAATGCAAGGAAATTGCCTGAAGCGATTTCCTCCCAGGTCACAAGGGACCTGCGCATCCGCAGAAGGTGAGAGAAGGAAGCCAATGAGACCGTGGACCAGCCAGCTGGCGTTGCCTGAGCGGCGGAGGGCTCAATGTCAGAGTCTGAGTAAAGTAATTACAAAGATGTTTTGGCTTCAAATCTAGTTAGTTCAAGTATACGGGGACGAAGCGTGTAGCACCCGAAAAAAAGCCCTAGACACCCTAACGCCCCAAACCCTACAACCGGGGAGGGGCGAGAGTGGTTGCCACTCCAAAGACCTACCGTACCCTCAAAAGATCTCTGAAGGCCTCCCTTACGAACCCTGAAATTCAGAAGAGCTCAGAGGAGGCCCACGAAAGCAAAACTCGAGAGGAACACGTGAAGGAGCCCTTCTAGCAATCCTTCAAGTGAACCCTCGCAAGAAGCTCAGGAAGCCCCGTCAAACCCCAAAGAATCCCCGAGAAACCTGGATTGAAAGGCCAGCCTTTGAGAAAACCCGAGAGAAGATCCTGCAAACCTCTACATACGGAAACCCGCACCAAACAAATCCAATATAATATACTATAATATAATAAAGCCATATAGTATAATATCATATAACCTAATATAAATAAATATATATATATATATATATAGATACATATATGTATCCACTCAAGGGTGGTCTTTCCCTCAGGCTGCTGCTCTCGCCGGGATGTACACGGGAGCTGACCATTACTACCTGCTTGGCATAGGGGCTTTCAGGATTCTGTATGTATGGGTTTCTCAAGGGCCTGTATAGGGTTTCTACAGGTTTTTGGTGCTTGCGTTTGCGCCGGTGGGTTTTACATCTCGGAAGGGTTCCATCAGGGTCTGATAAGTTCTCCAATGGAAAGATGCTTAGTCAGAAAGGGTTTCAAGGTCTGGCATGTAGAACTTTCGAGATTTGGGAGCTTTAAGTTCATAAACTCCTTATATCGCCCTTTATAACCTGCATAGAACTCCTGTGAACTCTTACAGAGCCATGCAAGAAGCCCATGGAGCCCTTCTAGAAAACTTAATGTAGCCTGACTGGGTACTGGTACTATTTCTTAGCTTTCCATCCCCCATAAGAGACCCCAACACAGGTGGTGCGTACATTGATGCTACAATTTTCCTACCATGTACTATAACGTAAGATAGTTATAGCATTCACATCATCCTGAAAGAAACCCCGAAACAGCTGGAGCCCATGGCCTTCTTCATCCTCTTGGGCACAGCAGGGTTCGAAATGACCAGGAGGTCGCAGCGCGCCTGGAGCAGGCAGTGCTTAGGGGCTGATGCTTTTGGGGTATATGGGTTCAGTTTCTGGGTTTAGGGTTTATGAGTTTAGGGTTTATGAGGTTAGGGTTTATGGGTTTAGGATTTATGGGTTTAGCGCCGAGGGCTGAGGGTTTAGAGTTTACCTCTCCTGCTATTGATCTTTCTGCTACTGTGATTGTATTTCTCGGCAAGCACCCGCATACAACGCAAGGTCCATACCATATAGTTCATCATAAGTACCGTAACATAGCACCTTAATACTGCATGAACTTATACTATGTTGTGCTCGTGCTCTGCTATGCTATGTTCAGTTCCATCAACCCGAAACCCCTAAACCCTAAAATCCGTGCAGTCTAAACCCCAAATTTTGAACCCGAATACCTTGAAACCTAAGGCGCTCAGCCCCTGAACCCTGAAACCCCTTTGACCCTGCCACCCCTCGTCCAGAACCCTATCCAACCCCTGTAGAAACCGTTTCAACAAATGGGAGTTTCCGAAAATTGGGGCACCGCATTTTGGTGTCCTCATAATCAGGATCCTTCAGTTTAGAGTACTTTATTGGGTCCCCTATTTTCGGAAACTCCCAAATGCTTTTTAGTCCTTACCTGAACACTAAGCCCTTAAACTCCCACTGTAACCCTGCAAGAACCCTCAAAGCAAGCCTTCAAGGCTTAACCCCTAAACCCTAAACCCCCTAAACCCTGAACCCCCTGAACCCTAAACCCCGAAACCCTTACCCGTAAATCATAAACCCCCTAAACCCCGCTAAACCCCAACCCGAAACGCCCCAACCCTAAACCCCAACCCCCAAACCGTCAACCCCTAAACCTTGGAAGCTGCCCCCACCCTGTAATAGTGACTAACTAGAGTTATATTCGGGCCCTATTATATTCCTATGATGCCCCCACTATTACAGGGTGGGTGGGCCCCTTCGAACCTAAACCCCCTGAAAAATTGTTATATATAGGGTCCCTTATAAACCCGAATAAGGAAAATAAAAAATGTCCCAAAATTCAACCCAGAAACTCCTAAACCCCCCCAAGACTGCCACACCCGGCCTCACCCACGGTCACTGCCAGATTTTTCAATCGGCAGAAGACCCGGGTCGCCGGGTCGCTGGCGACGTGCGACAAGGTGGACCTTTAGAGGCTTTGGTTTTTTTGTTGAGGGCTCTTTTCCAACTGGTTAGCAGGAATACCTTACCAGGCTGAGCCTGTGGCTTTGGGGGGTTTAGGGTTTCGGGTTCAACAGAGGAGGTTTAGGGTCTAAGAGAGGGGTGATTTATGGTTTAGGGTTTATGGTCTAGGGCTTACGTATGGCTACGCGTCCAAAAACAAGGATTTATGGTTCAGGGTTTCAAACAGGAAGGATTTATGGTTTAGGGTTTGAATCAGGAAAGCTCTGGGAACCCAAACGACGAAGGGCTGGCTCCCCAAAACCGGTGCGAATCCTCTATAATATTTTGGTGTGTTATAAGCCAGGGCTTCTTAATCAGGTTCCACATTAGCCAACCAGTGATTTTGGGGGTTCCCTTGGCTCTTTAGCTCCTTATCTAGTAGGGATTATCGTCATCCCTGGCTCCTTAGCTCCCCCAATATCAATGGTTAGTTAGACTTGCGAAGTGAAGAGAGCCTTCGTCCGGCCCTGTCAAGCACAGCGGCACCCTCCGAGGCCACAACCGGAGCATCGAATACGTGTAGGGCACCTCAAGGAAGAGAGGCGGAGGGCTCAGGGATTTGCGGTTTGTGGGTTTAGGGTTTGGATTTGGGGTTTAAGGGTTTAGGGTTTGGGTTTGCGGTTTGTGGGTTTAGGGTTTGGATTTGGGGTTTAGGGTTTGGATCTAAGGTTTAGGGTTTAGGGTTTGGGTTTGTAGGCTTTACAGGGCTTACAGGGTTTTGGCTTTATAGGGCGTGCAAGGTTTAAAAGTTGAGAGTTTAGACTCCCGCAAATTCTGCGCCCCGGACGTAGTATGCGAAGAAAAGGCAGTCGTTCTTCGACTCAAAGACGTAGTCGAAGGCCAGCGTGTGATGACCGCCTTAGAGTTCAGATTTACATGGGTTTAGGACGTCTAGAAAATATTAGACGCTTCTACAAAAAGTAATTTAGGGCTCCAGGTTTAGGATTTCAGCATTCGGCGTCGGTGTCCCGATAAGCCCTGCGGGTAAAGACACTCACTTGCGGCTTGGTCATGGGAGGTTTAGGCATGCCTTCACCTTACCTTTGGTTAGTAGGGAATGGAAGAGTGGTAGTAATAGTAATTAGAGTTGTACCCCATTCCTCCATTCCCTACTAACCAAAGGCAAGTCACTCTAGCTGCACTGTACCTGTTCCCACAGCTTGCAACCCAAGTGCAACCCTAAACCCTCAAGCCTATATCTTGCAGCCCAAGCCCTCTGGCTCTCTCTCCACTGCAAAGGCCCAGAACCCCCAATTTCCCCCAATGCTAAACCCCTAAACTCTACAATCCCCACCACCCCACATAACCGCCAACCTCCCCCCCCCCGCCGACAGTGGAGCCGAGGTCGCGGCTGCTAGCGCTACCAGGCAGCGCTAGCGTCCTTGCAGCACTGGATTTAGGCGTCGGGCTTCTTTCCAGGACCGTTTTCAAGGAATCCTTTTAAAGGAACTGTTTAGCAACCGCAAACAGGCAACCAGTAGAGCAACCATTCAGGAGTTCCTGTGAGGCTGACAAAAGCCTGTTGGTTGCAACGCCGTTGCCCAAACACTAGAAGGACGCCAAGGCCCTCGGAGTTTGCCCCCTACGGCTCCCAAAACCCCACACCCTGAGCCCCAAAACCCCGAAATCCAAACACAACAGCCACGGTTTCTTAGACGCATCCCCTAAACGCGAAAGCCCTAATACCCTGAACCCTGAGCCGCTGAGCCCCGCTAAACCAAATCAATTCCCAAGCCAAGGAAAGCTGTCCTGTAGTAGCGAACATCCTGCCGCTCATGGAAAGGAGACTGAAAGGAATGTTGGTACATGTAGGACGGAGATCACCGATCATTGGCAGGCTTTAAAGGGCCAAAACATGATTGGAACAGGGCTTACAGTAGCTTTATCATGGCTCTACGGGGTGGCTCTACCATGTTGGGCGTTCCTATCGGAGACCTAAATACTTGGAACGTTTTATGGTGGGTTGCATAGGTGCTTCCTAATGGTTGGTATCGTAAGTATCGTAGTCGTTCCGCGGTGTTGTAGGGGTCATATAGAGGCCTGAGTAATTGGAACAGGGCTTGTGGTGGGTTGCGTCCCGACTTCTGAACTTCTGTTGCAAGGTGTTCTACGTTTTCGTGGTGAAAAAACCCTGAACGGCTGGAATAACATGTATGGCAAATTGTCATCAATGCCCTTACAAGGGTTGTACGGCGTTTTAAGGAATCATACAGCCGCCCTAGTTGGAAAAGAATGATACCGCAGTTACTTTGAGGGACGTGATGTCTAGCTATTTAGACTCCGGTGTGTCAAAAGCCCCCTCCCCCGAATAAGAAGTCGAAAACGCGCAGTTCGCAGCGCGCGAGCTCTAGACCCTAAGCCGCACATCCTCCACCTGAACCCTTGAGCCCGACGCCTACAAACCCAAATCCTGAAACCCAACCCAAATCCTGAACCCCAACTCAAAAGACCTTAGGAAAGCATTACAGAACCCGACAGCCACCCTCGAAGAACATCCTGAAGGAACCTTGTAGAAGGAACCTGGAAAACCCATCAAAGGCCTCCTACAAGAACATAGGGACCCTTAAAAGACATTTACCACTTAAACCTCTACACCCAAGCTCAAAGTATACCCCGATACCCCAGACCCGAAACTCAAAACCTTATTCTGTCCTCTGAGGCAACTTTCTTAAACGGTCTAAAGCCCGAAAGGCACACCTCCCCAAACCCAAAAGGACCAGAAGAAAGCCGTAAAGAAAGGAACACCCGCAAAAAAAATACACGAAGAACCCCCAAATTTCAAATTCCAAACCTTCAAACCCTAGAACCCTAGTAAAGAACCCTCAAGCCCCCTGCAACTTAACCCGAAACCCTCAATCTCATTTTAGCCCCCGAAAAGGACCCCAGAGGGCCCTCCGAGCCTTCCCCGCGGGTTTCCAAAGCCCGGCCACACCATCCCAGAGTGAGGCCTACGGGGCTTTCTTGAGAGGATTAAGGGCTGAGGACTTTGGGGTTTAAGGGTTTAGGGTTTTGGGGCTCAGGGGTTAGGCCTTTGGGTTTAGGGCTTTGGGCTTGAGGTTTAGGGTTAAGGGGGGTTTAGGGTTTAGGGTTTTGGGCCTAGTGTTTAGGCCTTTGGCGTTAGGGCTTTGGGCTTGGAGTTTAGGTTTAAGGGTTTAGGGTTTAGGGTTTTGGGATTAGGGTTGAGGGTTCAGCGCCATAGTCTGTTATGAATAAAGTCTTGGACAGGTGTCATCAGGGCCTTTCAGGCTTGGAACGCTCTTGGCAGAGATGTTCAAGGAGTTTTTGGAATTTAGAATGCTGTGCAAACGTGTCTCAGGGTCTTCGAGTGGGGCCTGAACATGTCTGCTAGAAGGAGCCCGCAGGAAAGATGTTCGCAAGAACAACAACAATAATAACAAGAATAAGACTCATTGTAATCATAACAACAATATCTAACCAAGGCCATAATAGCAACAATAATAACAGTAATAGGAATAATATTAACAACAACAAAGACAACCATATCTACTAAAATAACACTAGTGATGACTATAATATTACCAAAAACACATGATGTTAAATTAGAGACTGACCCACTCTTGGGGGATCAAGGTTGAGGGCCTAGTGCTTTGGAGCTTCTGGTAATGATAGTAGCGACGGCCTTTCGCGGAGACGCCCTCCAAACTCGTACCGATTTTCAAGCACTACAATCACTACGGAGCCTCAGAGCCTCAGATGCTTCAGAAGAGCAGCAGCACAACCAACGACAACGCCACCATCGTGACTACCGACAGCATTGGCAACAGCACGACGGCTCCCACAACCGAAGCTACCATCACCTCGAAGTCGCCAATCGCGGCAGTGTCCTCTCCTCGCCCATGTCATCCCATCATCGTCATTATCATCATCCCCAACCCAAGTCCCTTAAACCCTATGATCACCATCACCACACGCCCCGAAACGCCTCGAAGCTGCGCTTCGAGGAGGACCTCTCAACAACGTATCTCCCCTAAATTTCGGGGGTTTAGGGTGTTGAAGCTTGGGTTTAGGGACACTTGGGCTTTGGGTTTGGGAGCCTCCGGGTGCAAAACTATAGTCTAAAGCCCCTACCAAATGTAAGAATGCTCCTTGAAACCTTCGCCAGCTAATGCTGTGTCGAGGTTCAGTCTTTGCAGGGTTTAGGACTCATGGGTGAGGGTTTCGGAGTGAGCGGGTTTGAGCTTCCAGGTTTAGGGTTTAGGGTCCATGGCGTTCAGTGAACAGGTAATGTAGGGAGTGGAGGTTAGAGTGGTTGAAGGAAGGTTTGGGGATGCACACTGGCAACTCCTTAACCCCTGTTCAACCCCTATACCTTGGGTACGGCCCCCATACAGCAACAGTCTATAATAGGGCTACTATTAAGGGCCTTACATATCTATATTATGAATACTATCCAACTGTTACTGAGTGGGGGCCGTACCCAACCTATACCGCTTAAGCCAGCATCCTGCTCTCCTCAACTCACCCCAGCGCAAAGAAAACAGTCACCAAACCCCGAATCCTGCACGCCAAGACCTGGACCCAAACCCTAATAGTTTTCTCCTGAACCCAGACGTGCCGTTGTAAAGCCCGCATCGAGCCGTTAATGTAAAAAACTTCAAAAGGCAGGACTCTCTTGTTGTGGTATAGTTTCTATGCTGCAGCTATCAGATAAAGAGATACTGAATGATTCGATTTGCGCTATGCTGCAACCCCTAGATTGTAGAACCCAGCATACACTATTGCTAAAATCATAAGAAGCCCGATAAGGGATATCATTACTGCCCTCAACCCTACACCCTAAACCTCGGGATTGGTAGAACCCATTGAAACTCAGGGCCCCTGGCCAAGCTTTTCGTGCATTCAATTCGGACCACGCCACCGGACCTTTCGGGACGGCAGAGAGAATTGAAAAGAAACAGGATGTGGAATCTCACGTGTTCAGAGCGAGGCATCACGCTTCAATTCAAGGATCGCGGACTAAGCAACAAGAACTGAAACCAGGTGACGAAAGTCATATATAAATATAGTTTGACGAAAGTCATATATGGGTGGTTGTCAAAATGAGGGTCCCTTTGTGGGTACCCTAAATATTAAGTGCCGTACTTTATTAGGGACCCCAAAAGGGACCCTAGTTTTGACAACTACCCATATAAATAAATATAGCTTGACGAAAGTCACATATAAATTTGGTTTGACGAAAGTCATACATAAATATACTTAAGCCCAATTTAGGTACTTACAACCTTACTTATGAGGTCCCATGAACCTGCAAGTGGACCTCGAGGCTTCTCTGAACAAAACGAACACGCCCCAAAATCGCCAACGTCTACCCTGGGCTACCAAAACCCTGCCTTTCTCTAGGCTCCCTACAAATTCTATATTAAAGGGTCATAGTATGAACCTACAGAAAAGTAGGTTAGGGTAGGTTAAGGTAAGCCTCAAAAGCTCCAAGGCTCCGCGCCCATGCATTAGAGCATCGAATTTAGTGCTGAGGGTTTAGAGTGATTCAGGGCATCGGGCCGAAGGTTCATCCTCCTTTCTGAGACCTCGTGGTTCAGGGGCTAGTCATGGTTTCGAGCTTTGTAGGGTTTAGGGTTTAGGGTTTAGGTAATTTGTTGTTCAGAGTTTATTGTAGCAGTTTTGTGTTAAGGGGTTCAGGCCCCTCTAAGATGTAAGGCTCACGTTTTTGAGGGTTTAAAGTTAGGTTTAGTGGTTTAGGTTCTGTCCTTGAAGGCTGCGCGGTTTAGGGATTCAAGGGGCGTCAATATTGGCTGTATTAACTAGCTTGAACAAGGGCTTTGGGGTCTAGACTGCTATACCATAAACCCTAAACCCTAAACCCTAAACCCTAAACCATAAATAAGACCTCAAAGACTCCCCTTTTCGTCATTCTCCAGGCTATGCTAAACGGATGTCCCTGTTCTGCCCCGAAAGATGTCGCACATTTTTGTCTCCCAGAGCCTACATTTGGGGCCCAAAACAAGGGATTTATGTAGTGTTGATACAGGGTGGTTGCTAGTTTTCTGGAGATTCATCGGGTTTTGAGAAGGTCCTTCATAAGTTCCATACAGCATGGGGTCTATTGCTGTGTAAGTAACCAGATTGGGGATCATCAGCGGGCTTTCGGATTTTGATCAGGCTCCTCCATCCCGGACATGTCTAAACCGAGCTTTCAGCCCTGCCCACACCTGCAGAAGGTGCCTTTCTTCCGTGAAGCCCTGAACCCGCCATTCCAGAACCCTGAAGCCCACAACCCCAAACCGCTAAACCCGCATCCCTGCAAAGCGCCTGGACCCCTCTACCCAAAGCTCCTGAACCCTGAATCACTGAAGACCGCAACCCCATAACCCCTAAACCCACATCCCGCAAATCCGCAAACCCCTGAAGCCCGAGACCCTGGAACAAGGGTCCGGCGCATGCCCATCCGGAAAAGCGACTTGGATTTGGACCTTGGGCTCTTGGGATCCGGGACGTGTTGTGGTTGAGGGGCCTGTAGGGTTGGAGTTGTAGAGCTGCAGAGTTTCAGTGTTGTGTTGGTTGGGAATTCGATGCTGCGGGTTTTTCATCTAAAAATCAGAAAGAAGACTGGTTAATGAACTAGGGTTTTGGCTCCTGCACCATCGATATGTTCGGGAAAGATTAGCAAGAGCATCACTACTTTCTTCAAGCCCTATGTTGCGTCAGAATCGGTGTGATGCTACGGAGGCCTGACCGGTTAGACTATGGCCTTGGGACATGCTGCAGCACAGCTATACTCATCAGGAAATCTACACAATACTACTACCAACTATTTCGGCCCCTTTCGACGGGCGCTGAAAAGCCGAGGCACTCTGTTCTGTATACAGGCGAACCTGCTGACGCGAGGCTTCGAAACCCAAAAAGTCCAACTCAGCACCTGAAACAACGGCCAATCTCTGCTCCCTAAACCCGAAACCTTCGTAACCTACTTTACTGTAGGTTCTTACTACATCCATAGTATAGAACTTACAGGGACCCTCGAAAAAAGCAGGTTTGGTAGTTCAAGGTAGTCCGTTCTGAGCCAGACCCTACGTCAAAGCGTAAGCGACCTAAAGTTTTAGGTCCGGTTGCCGGGTCCCTGCTCAAATATATATATATATATATATGTGAGAATCAGCATGACGGTTACGGGTTAAAGGTTAGGGGTATAGGCTGGCCTAGCTTTTGGGGTCTAGAGTCTAGGGTTAAGGGTTTATAGGATGTTTTGAGACAATACCCTGACGATCTGGAATGTTTTGGAGCTTTCCAGAGCATTGCCATGATTATGATCTGTTTCACTTCCCGAATGGCCGTCCCAGTGACGTGCAGGCTCGTGCTCAAACTGAAACCTCAAATCGGCGCAACCTAAGCCATTTCATCGCGGCACATTACGCCTCGAAGTCCTTGTTCTGCCCCCCCGAGGAAAAATTCTCGCACTCGCTCTGAGAGTCATGCATATTCACGATGCGGAGGCGGTATAACCGGCCCGCTTTCGCGTTTCGCACAGCCTCGGCTGCCATTCCGGCGTTTGAGTTTCTAAGAAACTCGGGTTAGGGTACAGGGCTAACACGTACATCACACTTATGACAAAAGGCCCATTGAATGCCCAATTTCATGAATTCTTCTCTGGGAACTACCCACTTCCGGCAGCCCTAGATAAACGATTGAACCCCACATGCTGAAAGCCAACAGCTACTCTAGCCTGAATGTTGGACAGATAAGCCCCCCAAACCAAACTCCAGACCAGTCATGTGGGTGGTTGTGGAAATCATGGTCCCTTTTTGGGTCCCTGTTTTTGTACGGCACCTATTATTTAGGCGACCCAAAATCTTGACAACCACCCATGTCCGCGATCAAGGACCAAAAACCCCTAAATCTTCAATCCCACACCAGTTTGGCGGGGGAACCTCGCACAACACCCGACAGCAACATGATGAAACTTCGCAGCAGCACACCAACATGATCCTATGAAAGGAAGATGCGCGACGCAGCGACTCTGCAACTTCACCTTTTCCTGTCTGCAGCCCGCCCCGAAGCCTTAACAACACCCAACTGAAGCCCTAAATCATAAGCCCCACACCACACTGAAACTCGCTCCACCGCGTGCTGTCCGTGGCCCCAGCAAAATAAAACCACTGAGTGTGGCCGCGGCTGCGGATGTCATTGTCCTGAAGGTCTCGTAGCACCATTTCAGCTTTCCGGGAAGGCTTAAGGTCGCAGGAGTTGGATTCAGGCTTTCGGGTTTTGGATGGGTTTGGGGTCTTTTTTTAAGTTAGGTTGACGGCCTTCTTTAGGAGTTTAGGGTTCATGCCTTCGGGTTTTGGATGGGCTTACCTGGACCCTTAAAAGTAGGTGAAATAATGGCCCAAAACCTCTAAAAGGCTATTATTCTACATACTTTTGGGGTCCAGGTAGGGTTCAGGCTTTCGGGTTTGGGATGGGTTGGGTTCAGGCTTTCGGGTTTGGGATGGGTCTGGGATGGGTTTGTTCTTTCGGACTTCAGGCTTTGGGTGTCGCGGCCGGGTTTGAAGCTTCAGACAGCAGGTCAAGCTCTGTTAGCTGGGAGTTTCCGAGAATTGGGGGTACCTTTTTTGGGGGTCCTTATAATAAAGATCCTACTATTCAGGGTACTGTATTATGGTCCCCTATTTTTGGAAACTCCCGTGCCAGCCCTGGAACCCCCCCAAACCCTATACCCAAAGGCCTAAAACCCCAATCTCAAAACCGCAAGTCCCCGCATAACTACACCCCGCACGTCCATCTTCAACCCGGAAACGACGATTCAAGACCGAAAGAAACTCCACAAGCTGGGCCCAAAAGCCGGAAACCAGAAACCCGACTGCCAACCCTGAGTTCAGCCCAAGGCCGCAAGCCTCAAGCCCTAAACCGAGAGCTCTACACCCAAAGCCCTGAACCCTTACCTCACAGCCAGCCGAGCCACAAGAAAAAGTAGGTACTCTTCGGCGTCTTTGTCGAAGAGGACCTTTGCGCCCAATGAGGGTTGGAAGCTTTAGGCAATGCAGGGGTCTTTTCGCTTTTCATCAGCGCTGCGGGGCTACAATGGAGTGCATCGCTACGAAATCCTCGATGTAAGTGTTCTACCGATACTCTACAATACCCCGAAGCCCTATGCTAAGTCTCAAGGAGCCAATTTTCAGGGCCGAAAGGTTTTGAGAGATATCTGAGGACTTAGGGTGTCTGGTTTGGGGACCTTGTCTGTAGGTGCTGAGGCTTGAAGAAACAGGAGCATCTTTGGGGCGCTTAGGTTTTAGGGATTTTGAGTGCTTCGGGCTCAAGATGAATTTGAGATTCATCGGCTTCGCGCATTGCTGGGAGCGGCGGTGCAGCACGGGAGGAATGGGGGCCGACAGAGCGTGTCGATGGAACAAGTAGCTGTACGCACTATCTGCTGCTTCTATTTGTGTACACACTTTCCACTATGGGCGATTAGACCTTAAGGGTACCTTAATCTACCCTTAATAGGGTCCTAATAGGGATCTTTAGGGTCTAATAGCCCATATACCAACTAAATGGTGGGTGGTTACTTTCCGCACAGGAGGGCCTCCTGAGAGCGCCCTCGCATATGCGGATAAAAGCACGACTCGACAACATGTGGTGGTTGCCGATAATAGGGGACCCTAATATAGTACCCTAAATAGTAGGATCCTTATTATAAGGACCCCTAAATAAGGTACCCCTATTTTCTGAAACTCCCCTGTACCAGGAGCCTAAGCCTTGAACCTAGTGGGGACCCACGCGCAACGCCCCAGAACCCCAAGAACAACGACTAGCACAACAAGCAGAATCGCTGAACCAATCCTAAGTTCTAAGATAAGCTTGGTTCCGTACATATATTATCATATATTCCTAAACCCTGAACCCGAAAACACCAAGCCCGAGTTCCGAAGCAGAGGGGAAACTGCCAAACATCTGTGGTCCGGTATTGCGGATCTGGGCAATACCCGTACCTTTGGCTAGTAGGGAATGGAAGAATGGTAGAAAAAAGTAGCTATCATTGTACCCCGTTCCTTCATTCCCTACTGACCCAACGTAAGTACCCGGATCATGCAGGACCTCCTCAGCCGGCTACGTTTCCTTTGCTCTGCTGAGACTGAGGAAACAGATGCAGACGGACTGAGAAAGGCACATATCGCAAGTTTCCACTCTCAAAGCAAGAGGTGAACTCCAGCAGGTCTTCTGCCAGATCACGCGTCGGCACACCTGGCAACTCCGAGGCTTCGGAGTTTAGGGCTCAGGGTTTGGACTTGAGGGCTCTTGGGCTTTGAGGTGAAGGTTTGGGATGGACCAAAAAACACTCTTGACCTGAGGGTTCTAGCTGCAAGTCCGAGACTGCCCGTGGGCGAATGAAGCTGTCTTTACCGGGCTTCTGGAATTGCGCGCTCTAAGGTTTTGGTGCTGAGGGGGAGTGTGTCTGTGCGTCTTGGAACCGAGATGAACTGTAACAGAATACCCTAAACCCTAAACCGTTTCTGAGCATTCACAACATTCAGCCGAAACACGAAATCCTGAACCCCTACATCTTAAGTCCCAGATCCTAAACCCTACACCCGTAGACACTGACTGGTCTAGAAGGCTTCATGATAGGTTATGGTTTAGACATACACAGGGACCATAATGCTACATGTTTGGATCTATTCAGACCTCTATAACCCTCACCCTCCATGCAAAACCCTAAACCCTAAACCCTGAACCCTAAACCCTAAACCGGGCCGGGGCGGCTGCAGCCGAGTTCGTTTTGAGCTCTGCCAGGCTCCCTGCGGCCTCGGCTGGATTCTCTGCAGATCCGACCCACTGAATAGGGGCTTCAACTTAAAGGAACCATAGGGGTTCCTTTCAAGGGATCTATACGGTTTACGGGTTTTGGGGTTTAGGGGTTTAGGGTTTTGGGGTTTTGGGGTGAAAGAAAGTATAGTCATCATCAGGAACCCTAAGGAACACTACTGGTTCTTGCTTACTTTGGCTTCTTCGTAAAAAAACGCCCAAGGCTTTTCAGAGCTCAAGGCCTGGCTCGCGAGCCAGGAGGTTTCGTGTTTTTGGGTTTTCCTGGAGCCCAAGCTGCACATCTGCACATGGGGCAGTTATCGAAATTATGGCCGAATAAAATTAGGGACCCAAAAAGGGACCCTAATTTTGACAACCACCCACATGGATAGCAACAGAAAGAAAAGCATTCTCTCATCCGACACGCGCCCGCAACCCCAAAGCCGAGGACCCGTAACTCTCAAGCTTACGCTCAGACCCTGCCTACCAGCAACTGAGTCAATAATCTTCAAGCGTTGAATTCGAAAGCCCCTAAACCCGAAACTATACACCTCAAGCCCAAAGCCAGCCCAAAGCCCCATGATCACACATCCCCCAAGCCATACACCCTAAACCTCAAAACTCGGCACCCTCAACACTCGGCTGGGCCCTAGGCGGGGCTTCTTACCCAGTCCGAGCCGGGACCCGGGAAAGCCGTCGTCGGAGCCGGCAAAGCCGTCGCTTTCACTTCCTGCTGGCGTTTGGGGCTTTAGGCTTTTTGGGTTCAGGATAGGAAGCTTTTGGGTTCAGGGTTTTCGGTTTGGGGGTTTAGGGGTTTAGGGTTTGGGGGGTTAGTGTTTATGTCAAGACTGGGGTTTGAGGGCTTCGAGCTGAGGGTATTTCAGAGGTTCAGCTTTGAGGTCTCCCCGCTGCAGAGCCAGACACGACACGTTCTTTCATACTGATATTATTTAGGTACGGCCCCCATACAGTAAGAGTCTATAATAGGGCTATTATTAAGGTCCTACTATATCCATAATATGAATATTATTCAGCTATTACTGAGTGGGGGCCGTACCCAAGATATTATCCATTGATGTTAGGAGCCCTCACCAAAACCATGCCCGGGATAAGGTTTAGAACTTCAAGCAGTAGACGCAGGCGCAGTCTCGCCAGACATCAACCCTAAACCCTAAACCCTAAGCCAACAAGAATGACGAAGCTGAACTCCACACGCCTCTCACCCGAACTCTAGCTCCTCCGAAAGCTCATACGTAGTTTCAATCTTTAAAGTTTAGGGGTTAGGGAGGGAGTCCGAGCTTCGGGTTTCAGCCCGGAAAACCCTAACCCCTTCAACCCTAAAGCCTCCGCCCAAAAAGCTCTGAACCTTCAACCCTCAAACCGAAACCCCAATGGCGAGCGGAATTCCGACCTGAGTCGCTCATGGGAAGCACCGGTACGGAGAGCCCCTGCAGAAGGGCCAAGGAATTGAATGGGGACTCAGCCTCAGCGTTCGGGGCTTGGGGTTTAGGGCTGTCCTTTTTTCAGAAGGCCCCCATACTGCCAGTCAAGCTTCCAGATTTGTCAAACATGGTACCGAGGCTTCTGGAGCCCAGTTCCTATACTCCTAATGCTTCAGTTAGCTTCTTGTACATTTGAAGTGGATCTTTCGTCTGGTTCAAAACCGGCACCCTGGACAGAAAGTCGTGTAAGGCAAAACAAGGAAGACTGATGCCAAGACTTTCCTTGCCATGGAACGTGGCTTGTCGCAAGAGAGCTTCGCTCCTATCGGAACGCGGCTTGTCGCGAATGAGCTCAGCTCCTATCAAGCCGAAATACAAAGAACTGCAATCTGTACCTTCAACCAAGGACAGAATGCAATGTGGCCCCGGCATGATGATGCACACCATGTCCGGATTCAGTTTAAATGACATAATGCAGGGGCCTGAACAATTACCCGTACTGGGTCTTAGGGTTCCATTTTTTCTACGATAATGCACCCCAAAACCCTATTCTGAGCATTCAAGCCCCTGCAATTTTCTAGAAGAATCTTAAAACTCTATGACGTCGTCATCAGCGCAGGCGTTCTCCGAGCCCTCGGATGAGTGCTGCTTCGTGGCCGTCGAGATCTCCTCCGACATGGGAATCACTGGTTAGGGTTTAGGGTTTAGGGTTGAGGGCTTAGGGATATCGGATGTATAGTATCATTGCAGGCCTGGAGGTAGATAAGATTCAGGATCTCCTTTTGGGCTTGCCCCACCTACCTTCATCCCACCCTTGAAACCCAGAGCTCTTTGATATCAGAGCCTTAACGAAAAGATTTGCGCCTTGGGGTATATATGAGTAATGAGACTATAATTCCAAGCAGCGTTAAGGAAAGCATTCTGTTCTGTTCTGTGCTTTTTAGATCAGGGCTGGAAATCTGCCATCCCTACCCCGCTAAACCCTGAACCCCTAAACCCGTAACCTTCGACCACCAAAAACCTCAAAACCCGAAGCCCCTAACAACCCTTAAGCCTGAAAATTCCTAAATCTGTAAACAAGCCCTGAACCCCAAAACCCGAAACGCCCCCCTAACCCCCCGAAAGTCAGCATCCTCCACCTCTGGCTCGGACTTGGCCGCCGGGCGAGGGCGAGGTCGCCGGCACCGGGGGCAGCCGAAGGGAAGGAAGATGCCTGAAGCTCAAAACGGAATGCGGGCCGAGGACCAAAAACACCATTTTAAAGTCCGCCCGGTTTCCCTCTCTACTCAAGAAAGGAACCCCTTTAAGAGGAACCTTTCCAAAAGGGTGCACCTTAAAACACGGAGCCTTTTGAAGTCTAAATTTGATGTCTGGGCTTTGGGTTTAGAGCTCAGGCTGTGTTTGCAATTCGGTTTGAATACGTTTGGGGAAAGGGAGTCAACGCCCCCCAAGCAGGAAGTGCCATCGGAGTCCGAGGGACGAAGGGAGGGTCAAGCCGCAGGGCGTGGCGGTCACACCACGGATGCCAAGCAGCCTAGCTTAATGAAAGCCGTAACGATGAGAAGGGGAATAGGGTTTTCGGGTATGCTGTGCTAATTGTATAGGGACTACGAGGGAATATGTTTAGGAACTAGTCAAGCCCCTATTTTACCCCTTTGCAGACGCCTTGAGCTACGACCGACCTTTTTGGGAGTTGGCTCGGTCGTGATGCTTAGGGCTTGGTGCTGTGGATGTAGGGTTTGGGGCCTAGGGTTTGGAGTTGAGGGTTTCGTTCAAGGCCGGGAAACCGTGTGATAGGGAACAAGTCCCAAGAAAAAATATTAAGGTATGCTGCTCCCAAGCCCAGAAGCATGTCTCCATCAGGCTTGTAAGAGACTTCTGAGCAGGTTATGGAACCTTGAAACCCACGGCCTCAGCTCCACAAGTTCATACATATTTGGGAGTTTCCGAGAAGTAGGGGTACCTTATCTTGGGATCCTTGTAAGGAGGATCCTACTATTTAGGGTGCTATACTAGGGTCCCCTATTTTCGGAAACCCCCATTTTTTGACACGCCGATTCAGCGAGCGCCCCTAAACCCTAAACCCTAAACCCTAAACCCCTAAACCCTAAACCCTAAACCCTAAACCCCTAAACCCCTAAACCCCTAAACCCTAAACCCTAAACCCTAAACCCTAAACCCTACACTACACCCTACACCCTGAACCCTTGCGAGAGGCCCTCTGGAACCCACAGGCTCACATGTTGAACCCGTCCCCTGAATTCCCTAAACCGTTTAGGGTTTAGGGTTTAGGGTTTAGGGTTTAGGTAACAGTTTAGGGTTTAGGGCTGGGTTTGGGGTTTATACGGACGCCAGTCATTCGAGCAGAGTTTGGGGTGTATGATATTTTCTAACTGTATGAGGACGACAAAGGATTCGTACGCCTAACTATTCCCACTCCTGTACTAGTTCACATCTTCCAGAGATAATTACTCTTGGCGAGAGGCTGAGCTGCTCTGCCTCGCTTATCTTCTGGATGCTTCTCACGCGATCTACTTCTGAGATGAAGAAGAAGAAGACGTTGAAGACAAACACGGCGCGCTGGACCATGCTCAGAAAGACCTTGATCTTAGGGGGGTCTGCAAGCAAGTTTTGAAAATCTTCAGGGATTAAGGTTTAGGGCCTAATCGTTGGCCCAAAATTACCCGCAAGAGCCGTTCCGACCTCAAGAAGTGCCAAGGGGCTATTGGAATATCCTCCTGCCAATACCTGGGCTGTTTTTCTTCAGGGTTGCGGGGTCTAGGGTGAACCTGTTCTTCCCGGCAGTTTCACTGCTGCTAACAGAGATCTACCACCCTGAATCTGCAAAATTCTGTTCAAGAACAGCTCAGCTGCTAAACATGGGTTCTCCAAGCCACAGCCACGCAGGAAAGCGCAAGGATGCCAACAAAGTTCCCTGTCAGTCGGATGCGACTTGCAGGCCATGGCCTGGGTTTTCAAAGTAGGGTATCTATTAGAAGGGGCCCCCACCCTGTAACAGTGACTTTCAGGATTATATTGGGGGCCCGATTATATTCCTATTCTACCACTATTACAGGGGGGGCCCCCTCTAAGGTATCTAAGGTCCACGGTTTGGGGCTTTATCGTTTAGGCTTTGAGGGGGTTCTAGAGTCGAAGGCTCATGGTCTAGTGACAGTCTGGGTCGAGGGCTTAGGGTCTACCTTAGGAGCTGCCCCCACCCTGTAATAGTGACAACAAGGATTATATAGGATTATATTAGGGCCCTATTATACTCCTATTATACCACTATTACAGGGTGGGGGCAGCTTCTAACCTATAACCCTATCCCCTAAACCCCAGGGTTCAGCGTCGCTCGAAGGTTCAAAATTGTAGGGTTCTAGGCCCTCTCGCTTGCGGCTTTTAGGCTGCCAACATCTCGGTGTCAGTAGAACCACGAACCCAACACAGCAATATGAGGCCTCAAAAACTAGACTAGGGTTTTGGAGGGGGGGTATTTTACAGTATCATTGTACATGGACAATAAGGGGATGCTACTACTGATTAGTCCGATGAAAACCCTGACGACCTCATCCCCAGCCGAACCAGAATCTTAACAGCGGCAAAGAGAAAACTATTACTAGCCATCATACTGCTAGTCCTAACAATAATAGCAATACTAGTCATAGCGGTAATTTTCATATAATATATACCATGTAGGCACATGGACCCTTAGGATACAACTTTACCGTGAGACTACATACAATCTTAGCAGCAACGATGAGGAATAACAATGGTAGCAATACTAACCAGAACGGTAATTTCCATATAGTCTTAGCAGCAACGATAAGGACCCCTCGCCGGGGCCCGCACCACAGCAAGGTGCACGCACCAGCAGCGATCGCCAGCGCTGGTCCACTGTTGTTCAACATCATCTCCCGGGTCCTCAGGGAACGCAGGGAGAAGATTTTGCAAGGTTTCGGGGCTGGGGGTTTTAGGGTTCAGGGTTCAGACTTTAGAGTTCAGGGTTCAGGGTTTCGAGTTTAGGCTTTAGGGTTTAGGGTTTGGCGTTTAGGGCTCTGTTCGGGATCGGCCGCTTGCGTTGATAGAACCGTGTACGCAGCTTTCTTCACCGGCCTCCCGGTGCCTTTGTATGGAAACAGCCGTTGTAAACATGCATTAGTTGAACCTTTCCTTCTTTTCTGAGTCGATGTCGAAGAGCATTTAAGTGAGATTTGATGAGGTTCTGCTGCCTGTGGTTCGTGGCAAAGGGCCGGGAGTCAGAAGTCGGATTACAACCTTAAGCAATTAAACAAGGTGTACAGGGTTTAATATGTATCACTACGAACTGTTCCCGTACCCCAAAGTCACCGCCTTAACTGTAGAGCAAACCGACACAGCTTGGGCGTGTCCTTGCCAACATGCCCCGGCCACGCCTGGGCATCTGGCTCAACATCTTATTTTGGAACCAAACTTTGGTGCGAAGACTTCCGGCCTCTGCAAGTCTGAAGTCCAAAAGCCTGCATCCGAAATTACGCTCCAGAATACACAATCCAAGACTCCCTGTTCAGGGCACACCTTCACTGGCTTAGATTTTGGGGGTCGAAGGGTGTAGCAAGCACGAGGTTCACATCGGTTCAAGCAGCCACCCACCAGCTGCACCCAAACCCTAAACCCTAAACCATGAACCCCTAAACCCCAAACCCTAAACCCCCTAAACCCCAACACCCCAAATCCTAAACCCTGAACCCCTTAACCCTAAGGCTCCAAATCCTGAACCCTAAACCCTAACTTGAGGATTCGGCCAAGAGGTATCGCCAAGCTGATGAAGATGAGGTTGCGCCTGGTTTTGGGCTTTTAGGGCTTCTTGGTCTAGGGTTTATATAGGCTCTTTGGGGGGGGGGTGGGCTTTTAGGGCTTTTGGGGTTTAGGGTTTAAGCTCTTTGGGGGCTTTGGGCTTTTAGGGCTTTTTGGTTTAGGGTTTAGGCGTTTGGGGGATTTTGGAGCCTTAGGGGTTTAGGGTGTAGGGTTTTGGGTCTTAAGTAGGATTGCTGAGTAGCTTTGACTCACACCACACTCACAGGGCTAAGAACCGTAAACCCCAGACTCAAGACCTAACTCAAGACCTCAAACCCCACGACAGTGACATGGGAAAGTCCTTACCTATACTGAAGTTAGAACCCTAGCAAAAATCAAAATTTTCGCTGTTTCTTAGGGATTATAACAACCAAAAATTGAAAATTTCTAAGTACCCCTAAGTTACGCCCTTTGGGCCGTGGGATCTGGTCTCCCATGGGAAGAGCCTTGATGTCGCAGCGGAAGTGTCCGGGGTGCACTGTTTTGGTGCTAAAGGGAACTCCAGAAAGTTGGAATATGGATTAATGGTAGGATCCCCTATAATTTACCTTCAAGGGGTTACGATAATGATATTCCAACTTTCTGGCTTCTACTGTACAGGTTCGCCACATCATCAAGCCCTTGCAAGACCGCATAAAAGAACACCCTCGAGAAATCCCTCAAAGAGCTGGGAAAAAGAGTATTCTTCCTGGGGCTTAAGGACCTTAATTAGACCCTAAACCCTGGACCCTATACCCTGAAAAAAATCTAGGGCTTAAGGATCTCCTGATGCTTCGACAAGCTTCCCTGTCAAGTTGACCTTCATCGCCCTTGACGAGCCGTTGACAGTGTCAACGGCTCATCAAGGGCGATGAAGGTGTCACTCTCACTCCTTTGAGTGAGAGTGACACCTTCATCGCCCTCTGCCATTTCCATCCAGAAGGGCCGCACATCCTCAGAAACATAGTTTCTTCCAGAAAACGTGGGGATTCAGGTGTGCGGTTGGGGGGGGGTGGGATTGAAGGCTTACTGCAAAGGAGTCATGAGACCGTGTTTTGGTGGTTCCTTGCGAAGTATGACTTTTAACGACTTGCTGTACAAGGGCTACTACAAAGCGTTTACTACAAGCGTCCCTGTGTAATGTAACCTCGATGGCTTGAGCGCCGGGTTTGAAGCTTTGGGGTTTACACAGTCGGGATTCAGGGTAAGGGCTTGATAACCTCTGTGAGTAAGAAGGCTGGCCTTTTACTAAGGGTTTAGGGATTACTACATAATCTCAGAGATACGGTAAGCGTTACTATATACGATACGGCTTCTTATGGAGGCTACACTTCAGTTACGATAACATGACATGTAGCATGCATATGTGTCTATGTACATACGGGTTACTGAATGTGTTGTCTAAGGCTTCCGCAGGAAGAGAATCCCAAGGGTTTACACGATGACTCAAAAACACGAAACTTTTGACGTAAAGGATGGAACAGGGGTGAAACGACACCCTAAAAGCCCAGTTCCCTGATTTGCTTACATGTCAGGTTCAGCCTCTGGGTCAAAAAGTATCTGAAAGCCAGACATTAGGGTTGGTGAGCTACTGCCAGTACTCCACAGCGCCACGAAGCCCGAAGCAACATCCCAACGACAAGCAGGCTGTGGCAAATTCGTGGAACAAAAACTTGGGTTTGATTCACCCTAAACCCTAAAGCAGTTTGACAAATCGAACTTCTCTTTGGTGACATGAGTTGGAGCTAGAGACAGAACCTTCCCGCACTCGTCCGCAAGGTAGATCTCATAAGCGCACCATAGCCTCGAGCTCAACGGCCTTTCTGAGCGCTACAGGAATACAGGGGCCGAAATGAGTTTTGGAGTATGGTGTATTATGTTGGCTTTGGGATAGAGTTTTGAATGGAATGATTCGGCCTTGAGAATTAAACACGGGTTTTGGAGTATGGCGGTATGGTACAGTCTAAGCAAGGACTGTACGGGAAAACTGTTCCGCTGGGGACATTCTGCACCACATAAACCTTGAGTCACAAACCCCCCTTTCCCTTTAGCTGTTAGCGGATTATCATCGGGATCCTTATATGAAGGGGATTCATTTATCAGGGGGACTACGAAAAACGGTTTCAAGCGTCTTGGCTCGGGTGGAAGCTTCAACGAATGCACGCCTGATCATGAAATCCTGCCTGCATGCGCAGGGGCATCTCCCCTAAACCCTAAACCGTCTCAGGCCTGGTGTAGATGCTCTTGTGGTGGTTCGGCACGACGAGAACATGGGAAGCGGCATTCAAGGCGATGGCAAAAGGCGACGTTCTCGGAACCTTGATCAAGTCCTCAGATTTGCGAATATGGGCGCAACAAAGTCCACTTCACATGGGCTCAACATTGGAAAGGGATGTCATTGTTAATTGTTCCCAGATGTTCTTGCATTCTTTCGATCCAAGTCTCCTAGCGTGCACATCCATGCACTCTGCGCACCTTGTGGCCACGAATACAGCACCTTCACAATGAACTCGAAGACGCCTTCAGGCGAGAAGAACCGTGAACCCTGGGGGAGCAATTCCGTTGTAGTGATCCTCAAAGATTCCCGTTCTAGGAATACTCCACTAGAATACCTGCCTCCGGAACAGTATCTGAAATCTTCTTCAGCTTTCGCTCAGATCCCTCCAACCTCCGGAACTGTGAAACTCCCCTAAACCCCACACCGGAACCCTAAACCCTGGCTCTGCTCGTGGTACCGTTTGGGGCTTAGGCTTTAGTGCCTTTTTTGGCTATTTGTCGTGCCGATAGTCAGCAATGTAGAGGCCTTAACAAATAGTGAGAACAGAGTCTGGGAATGTCTCCTACTGATTCTACTATACTTAGTTTAAGAAACCTGATGGGATACCAGGATCTACCTACTCATACTCTAACTATGGTACTCGCTTACAGCCGCATAGTTACCCGGCTGGTACTGTGCTTCCGCCAGCCTCGAATCCCAATGCACATGGCTCCAAAAGCCCTATCTGTCTTCTGTCGTCTCGCCACACTTTGCCATGCTACTCTCACTGCTTCATACTTGTTTGCGTTGCGCTTGTGCAAAGGATGCAGCGCCCGGACGGGTGCGGGTTTGTATGATCGCGTATTTCAAGCATGATACGGTGCTTTCCGGCGTCGAACCGGTGAGGCTCAAACCTGCGCCCGCCTTCTATCCACGCGTGGCTGATGAAGATGTGACACTCCAGGCCATTTCGGTTCCTGATTTCCACTCGTTGAAACTGGTGGTTCAGAGCTACAAAAGCTACGCTTGCATTCTATAAGGGGTTCTGTGAGGCTTCGATGTAGGCTTTCGGGTTTCGGCTTTAGGGTTCCTCATACCAACTATAGGATCATACTGAGTATACCCAGATTCAACCCCGAAACCCGAACGGAACCCTAAGCCCTCCACGGCAGCCGTCTCTGAAACCTGGGGTTTGGGCCTTGGGGATTCTTAGGGGCTTCGGGCCGGGTCCTCATGAGCGCCCAGCTCATCTTCCCGGCCGCAAAGGTCACCGGCTTCACGTACCTGAAACTGCCATGAAAACCTGCGTTTTCTCGTAGCTTGTTCTAGTTACATTCTAGTTGCTCGTATCGTCCTTCATATGGAACAACCGTTCTGCAAGTTGCCAGTATAATCAGTATAATCCCCACTTGGTCGAAATGGGTGGAGGCCCACAGAAGGAAACAAGAAACAGAAGGTTGATTTCCATAATAGCAATCATCCCAACCAGGCATGGAACTTCGTGGGCTCTTATGAGAAGAATAAGGCCATTTCAAGCCAGGGTACTGGTCATTGATGACGTAAAAACTTGGGCCAAGCTCAGCTGGCCTACCCTCGTGCAGGTGATGTCCCCTCGCTGGATGGCTTCCTTCACCTCTGGGGTTCAGGCTTACTGCAAGGTCTCGGCATGTCAAGGTTTAGGGTTCAGGGTCTAGGGTTCAAGGTTTACGGCCTAGGGTTTAAGGCTCTGTCGGGTTTGGAGTTTAAGTTTTGGGGCGTAAGGTATTTAGGGTTTGGAGTTCAGGGTTTAGTGTCAAGGTTTTGTTGCGCGATTCTCACTCGGAGAAGAGAGCAGGCTGTGTTCCAGATTCCCACCTGGTCGCGGAGGTGGCACAGGTCCGCATAAGTCACGCACCACTTATCTGGTGAAATCCTCCTGTGCAGCTCGGTGGCTGCTAACGTCCGCGGCGAGTTTGGCTCCATGGCCCTTACAAAAACCAGGCAGGGAGGGGGTGTTACCTAGCGGAGGGCTAAGCCACAAAGAGCTGGAGCCGACCGGTTGGGGCATCGAGGCCTGACTCCCACGCATCTGGTGGGCCACTCTGTGTTGGGCAGAGCCATCTTACCCGTGTAGAAGTCGCAAGTTTTGCTTTCATCCGTGAAGGCGCGAAGTCCTCAGCGTGTCTGCTCAGTAAAGTCTTGATGCTCCGTCTCCGAGCTTGTGGGACTACCAAGAAACCTGCTTTCTCCTGGCGTGTCGGGCACGATGTCTTGGATGACAATGCCAAGTTTCAACGAGTTCCCCCTATATTCTGTACCCCTAAACCCTAAACCCTAAACCCTAAACTCTGTACCCTTGAAGCCTAAACCTTAAATTCCGTACCCCTGAAACCTAGACCCTAAATTCTGTACCCCGCCACTCTCAGAAAAGCATTGCAACTGTGAGCCTCCGGAGCCTCATATCTTCGACCCCCGGCAGCCGAAAGCACGTCGCCGTACTTTGGCCTGCCACAGTTCTTTTGGGGATTTTGGGGCATTTTAAAGGAATATCAAAAATCCCTCAAAAGGCTCCCTTAAAGGGATCCCAGGGGTCCCTAAAAGGGACCCTTTAAAGGAAAGGAGCCCGGGCTTGAAGGGCGTTGGGGGCGTTTAAGTGCAGGCTTCAAGGGCTTTAAGGGCTTCCTAAACCCTAAACCCTAAACCTATAAGAGCCTTTGAGGGCTTTAAGGGCTCTAAAGAGTTTAGAGCGTTTAAGACTTTAAGGGCTTTAGAGAGTTTAGAGCCTTTAATTTAAGGCTTTAAGGGCTTTAGGGGGTCTAAGGGCGTCCCAAGGGTTCTCGCCACCCCGGCCGCTCGGAGACTGCTTGCGGGAGCAGTTCGGACAGTAAAGAGAAGTTCCGGGGGGCGTCAGTATGTCTTGGCGGAGGTTAAGGTTGAAGGATCTTCATCATAATAGCAACAACAAAGAGTAACAGGAATGATAAGAGCAACAATAATAAGTATTCTACAACTATAATAGTTATAGTATACTTAATTGGCCCCAAAACCCTATAATGATATGGGCTTTGGGCTCCGGGTCTTGTCTGCAACTTGGGCCTGGAGTCTCGGTGCTGGGAATCGGCGTTTCGATGTACGGTTTGTTTAGGGTTTGGGGTTTAGGGTTTAGGATTTTAGGGATTAGGGCTTTTTTGGTTGAGGGTTTGGGGTGTAGCAAAGGAGCTGAGGGTTTGGAGGAGTCAGGATTGCGAAGGCATCCAGGTGGGTCTGAGGATAAGGGCTTCGAGTTTAGGGTTCAAAAATTACAAGTTATTTCTATTTACCCCTAAGTCTTTATGAACTTGAGGACCTGTTTCGGGGTGCATGCACAGAAGCTTGTGGCTTAGGACATCAGTATGCAGTCGAGGTTTTGAGGTCACGGGATGGCTAACGGAGGGAAGCAGAGCAGGAGAGGGAGAGAGAAAGAGTGACAGAACAAGCAAGTCAAACAAGCAGGTCAAAGAGCAAGTCAATGAGCCAGTCAAACAGTCTGTCAGTCAGTCAGTCCGTCAGTCAGTCAGTTAGTCAGGCAGGCAGTTAGTCAGGCAGGCAGGAAGGCAGGTAGTCAGTCAATCAGTCATCAAGTAAGTCAGCAAATAGAGATGGCACCGACCATCGATGTTGTACAGCTTTCCCTTATCCAGTCGAGCCTCGAACCTGAGCCTAAACCCCAAGCCTGCAACCCCCAAGCCCTCAACGGGTACACCTTGACCCAAACTTGCTGCACATGGGTGTAGAAAACAGCCTTCTAAACCCATGGAAAACACCTTGTTCGGACCAGGGTCTGATAAGAACCCGCGCCCGAAAAAAAAACTCTACACCCTAAACCTGCAAGAAAGCTTCCACCGACGCCTAAACCCTAAACCCCTAAACCCTAAACCCTAAACCCCGAAGAGCCACATCGCACCTGGGAGGCCAGAGGATGGAGCCTGGCAGCTCTGGGCTGTGGGGGGGGCGATTTAGGGTTGAAGGTATAAAGTTTAGGTTTTAAGATTTAATCTTTAGGGGTTAACGTTTAGGGTTTAGGGTTGTGGCGTTGCTTTTGGATAGGAGATAGGGGTCTGAAGGTTTCATTTGTCGACTTGTGAGAGTTTCGAGCTTGACGTTTATAGACCTCTCGAGTGCGCTGCGCGGCTTCGGGTCAAGCGTAGTGGGCGTAGTGTTCATGCAGCAGCTTTCAGGATCTGGGGATCTGGGGCTGCGGCACTGGCAGGTGTTACTGTCGCGTGGGGGGGGGGGGGCCAGAGAGGAAGATGGTGATGGTGATGACGACGCTTTCGTTGACAGTGATGCTGATGATGCTGATGATGCTGATGATGATGATGATGATGATGATGATGATGAAGAAGATTATGATGATGACAATGATGATGGTAATTACAATGACACTGTCGATGGCGACGATGACGATGATGATGAAGACGATGGTGATGATGATGCTGGTGAAGAAGCCCCACGGCTCACAGTCGAGGCCCGGGGTTCCTTTTCCGTTTGGCTTTGTGTTGTGTTTCGGGGTCGGGTTGGGGGGCTTCTTCTTCTTTGGTGAAGTTAGATGCACAGCCATGGAAGCCCTCATGACGATGAAGCAGCATCTGCCGAGAGCGTTGAGAGCACGGATCGCACTCCTCGCGACTTTGTTCGTCATGGTAGCGTGCAACCCCACGAGCTTCTGCCGAAGGGACCACCACCTCCTCAGCCAGTCAACCTGCCACCCAGAGAGCGGGAGGCTCCAGCCGGCAGAGACAGTCCAGCTTGCCTTTCAGATGCATGTGCGAGGCCGCAGCATCCAGTGAAGACTCGCATCCGGAGTACCGCTGGCCGTTGCACCAGGGTGAACGCCTTGCTGGGCCCTTCCTGCCGAATGGACGATTTGCTGAGACGACTTCCTCCTCCTCCAGTTCATCCACTGACGACGACGATAGAGCAAACCCGCGCGGCGAGGCCGGCGACGATCTTGACTCTGACGCCTGGAGCTGGAGCAGTACCAGCATTGACCTGGGAGGAGCCCCGCTGGCTCGTGCAGTTGACTTCCTACTGGGCCACTACCGCAGCCAGCTGTCCGACTCCACCGAACTCTACACCAATCGTGAGGTGGGTGGAAAAGTGGGCGGCCTGCGCAGGCACTTGGCTGGCAAAAACTGGGCCTATGTCAGTGATGTGGCACGGCGATACCTGGAAGGCGAAGCACTCGCCTCCTGGAGAGAGTATGAACAACGGGCCACACATGCAAGGAGGCCCCGCCGCCATGTCCGGGCTCGCCACGCCTGATTTCGCTTGGCCTATTGGACGAGCAAGGAGCCATTGTGCTTATGCTTTCCAACTGCTAACCCGGTTACATGCCTTCACCCCCACTAGGACCTCTCGACTCCGTAGACACACTCGACCCCACAGGAGTGTCAATCGCTGCATGCAAGCTGCAGCACCGCCGCCGAATGCAGGCCATCCTGCACCTTTCGGGCTGACTCCATCTCCTAGTCCTGTAAGCCACTCTAGGACCCCACAAACGTCTGGATTAAGCCGAGCCGGTCCCAAATCCGGCACAAGCCTCAGAAAGGTTCTAGTGATAAGCACCTTGGTAAGGGCAGGCGGGGCGAGGGTTTCGCCTGTGTCCGCGACAGGCGTGGGACCCACTGCCTCGGTAGTGGGAAAGCAGCGCGGCACCGCGCTTCTCGGATCGTCGGCAGCAGCCAGGCCGACAACCATCCCTTTTTCAGTTAAACGTTCCTTTCGTAGAGCTAGGCTTAGGGCCCATCGTTCCCCCAATCAGGGTACTTGGTATAAGGGAACCTGGCACACCACTGAGACCCTAGGCCAACTGCCCAAACCTATCCCCAGCACCCATCGCTTCAGACGTTCCAATCGCGCCAGCAGGCGCCTTGACCACTTAGCCATAATGTCTTGGAATGCAGGAGGGCTCCCCTCCCACATGTATCAAGAATTCCTCGCATGGTGCGACATGCAGTGGCAACTTGACATCATTGTAGTCCAAGAAACACATTGGCACGAAACAAGCGACTACGTGTCTGGGTCATGGCTAGTGTTACACTCGTCCGGCCGTGGATCGGACGTCGAATTTGGCAGGTGCTCTGGGCTCCTCTTCCTCATCAACCAGCGAGTCTTCAAGGACCCCAGAATCTTGGAAGTTATGCCAGGACGCCTAGCCCTCCTTCAGATGTGTCACAAAACCAGTAACACACCGATTAGCCTCATTGGCGTGTACCAACATGTGTGGCGTAGCGGCCTAACCACGGCCAAGAATAAGGAACTACGACAAGGTCTATGGACACACCTTGATGGTCTGATCATGAAGACGCCTGCCCGGCATCATCTTATCATCTGTGGCGACTTCAACACCACCGTTCGCCCGGATCATCCCGTAGTGGGTCCCTGTGTGCCTGCCGACACGACTGACACCAATGGGGGAGACGAGCTTCAGATGATGCTTAGGACTCATAACCTCACGGTGCTTAACACCTGGCAGACCAAACACCCTAGTACCTACTACGCTCCCACGGGTGAGACACAGATTGATTTCGTCATCGTGCGACAGGATGCTGCTGTGGCCAAAGCCAAACAGGCAAGCCCAGATAGATCATTTCCAATTGGGGGTGGTAGGCTCACTGGGCATTTTCCCATCCGCGCTGAGCTGCCCTTGCTCCCCATATACTTCTCACAAAAGCCGGGACACTCTAAACATGTGCAGGCTATGGATGTCACCGCTCTGCAAGCAGCGGTACGAGCTCGCTCAACTGAGGCCCAGCTTCTGTGTCAGAACGTTTCGGCACGACTGTCTCAAATCGACACATCCCAGATAGCTAGTGCACACGCCAGTGTAAACCGCATTCTTCTGGAGGAAGCGGCACTTGCATTTCCTCGTGAACCAAAGCCCGACCACCGGGTGTCGGCACACCCAGGCTTCCGGATCACCGCACGGGCTGTGTGGCAGACTTACCGACAGTTTAAGCGAGCAGGAGTGTGCACTTTTGGTCGCATCTTCGAGAAGTGGCGACTGGCCACCAGCTTCGCCAAGGCCTCCAAAGCCTTACGCCAGCAAAGTAAAGAGCTAAAGCGAGCCTTCTATGAGGAGCAAATCGGGGCAGCTGAACTGGCAGCCGCCCGAGGCGACCAACGAAGCCTGTTCCTCATAATCCGCCGACTCTCCCCTAAATCCCGCAAAATTGCAGGTCGCATGCGCGGGGAAGACGGCCACCTGCTCTCTCCTGCAGAGGAGATGGAGGCCATAATTCGCTATAGCAATAAAACTTTTGCTGCCCGACCTGATGAGCCCCACATTGCACCCCTCACTGAGGACCTAGTAATCACTGACCAAGCCCTTCTGGACGAACTCAGCAAGCTAGGCATAGGGAAGGCAGTACCCAAGCACATTGCGCCGGCAGCTGTTTGGCGCCTGTGTGCTACGTCCATCAGTCATGCTCTTGGCCAGGCATTGCGACAGCACTTGCGAAGCGGCTCCCAATGCCAGCTCGACGAGGACTGGAAGAATTCCCATGTCTCCTGGATCCCTAAACCATCGAAGGCACCTACATCGGTTGAAGCCCTACGCCCAATAGGACTCACTAGTCCCGCTAGTAAGGCCCTTGCCGGGTGTTTACGATCCTCCCTTGTCAGCAGCCTCCAGCCCCTTTTGCAGCAGCTACCACAGTTTGCTTACGCCAAGCAAAGAGGAACATTCGATGCCATCATCCGCGCCCACCAGCACTTCGAGGCGGTCGCCGAAGTTCTGCAGCAAACCAAATGCAACCGATTCCAGCAACGAGTAGGCAAGAAGCAACGCCCCACCTCGGGGGGCCTTAGCCTCTCCTTAGACTTGTCAAAAGCATTTGATGGGGTCGACAGACCAGAGATTTACCGATCAATGTCTCGACATGGCGTCCCGAGCAGCACCATCACTCTTGTGCAGCAACTGCATGCCGATGCCAGATACATCTTTCATAAGGGGGACCTCCGCGGTTCCGTCATCACATCCAACGGCATAAAGCAGGGGTGTGTCATCGCTCCATTTTTATGGAATTACTTCTCTCTATCCTTTCTCCTCTTGCTCCGCGACCAACGAAGTCAAGAATGGATTGAACGTGCCCTCTCTCTCTTTGCCGATGATGTATGGGGAGCCTGGATTATCCGCGGACTCCCAGACCTTCGTGCTGCCATTGACGATGTAACCCTCATTCTTGAGACCCTAGAAACCCTGCATATGCAGATTAACTACGGTAAAACTGCCATCCTCCTCAGACTTGTAGGCAAAGATGCTAAGCAACAGCTCCGAGAACACACGTACATGCACGCAGGCCAGTTGCATCTTCGACTCACCGTCCACGGACGGGAATGTGGTGTCCCGATCAAGGACCAACACCTGTATCTGGGCACGGTTGTTACTTACAAGCACCGACTTGATCGTAACATGACACATCGGATTCAAGCGAGCCAGGTCAGATATCAGAGCCTTAGGAAGCTCTTGAATGGCAACCATCATCTCACTACCTCACATCGGTTGCGACTTTGGCAAGCCTGCATTTGTTCCAGTGTGATGTACTCACAGGCAGCTGTTGGTGTCACCGTAAGATCCTTACGGAAACTCACGGTGTACCTCACCAAGCAGCTTCGAGCCATCCTCAGGGTTCCAGCTCATATTACACACATCACCACAGGCGGTGTGTGGCAACAGGCTGGTTTGCCCATGCCAGGCTGGAGCATTCAGCACACACTCCGAGATTTCCTTCAAAAGCTTGAGCGTAAAGCCCTCACGGCTGCTGACATTACCACAGGCGATCAAGCCTTCCAGCACCTCCGCCTGCTGGACACACGCCTCGATAAGCTACTGATGGAAGCCGCAAATTGTCGACTTGTGAGAGTTTCGAGCTTGACGTTTATAGACCTCTCGAGTGCGCTGCGCGGCTTCGGGTCAAGCGTAGTGGGCGTAGTGTTCATGCAGCAGCTTTCAGGATCTGGGGATCTGGGGCTGCGGCACTGGCAGGTGTTACTGTCGCGTGGGGGGGGGGGGGACAGAGAGGAAGATGGTGATGGTGATGACGACGCTTTCGTTGACAGTGATGCTGATGATGCTGATGATGCTGATGATGATGATGATGAAGAAGATTATGATGATGACAATGATGATGGTAATTACAATGACACTGTCGATGGCGACGATGACGATGATGATGATGACGATGGTGATGATGATGCTGGTGAAGATGGTGGTGGTGCTTATGCTGCTGATGAGGATGACAATGACGACGATGACGATGACGACGACGACAACGACGACGATGAGAGTGACGATGAGGATGATGACGACGATGACGATGACGAAGATGAGGTTGACGATGAGGATGACGATGAGGATGACGATGATGATGATGATAATAATGATGATGATAATGATGATGATGATGATGATGATGATGATGATGAGGGCAAAGGTGCTCCTCCAAGTAGCCAAATTTCTGCTATCGCTCAACTGAATAAATCGATTACGCCTTGTGCGTGCAAGCTGACACAGGATCATCGGCCGCAAACGCTGCAGCTCTAATCCCGAACCCCAGTCATCAACCCCCAAAACCCGACCATCCTTAACCCTGAGCCTGCTGTTGATGATATGAATCTTGCACTACCTTAAGGACCCTAAACTATGGGGATTATGGTATAATCCTTCTTATGGGTAATGCATTATTTATGTCATCAACCGCTGTCACCCTAAACCGAAACCCTTGACCCTAAGCCCCAAAAACCCTACTGTCATAGGGTCTCTTTAAGGAGCCGCTTAAAGTAGCCCCTTGACCCTGTAGACCCGTCTAAGGAACTTTAAGGAATGCTCTGTCTGAGAAGAAGCAGAAGAAGAAGAAGGATACAAAGCCCTTAAGCCCCACCCCAAACCAAAGAAACACATCCAAACAAACTCCCAACCCCCAACTAACAAACAAAGACAGCACAATGCCAACAACCATGATAATGATTCTGACATTGAGAAATGGTTGCAGAATAAGAACCCTGAACCGCACAAAAAAAAAAAAATCTGTTGCAAAATGGATAAGAGCCCTAAACCCTAAACCTCAAACCCCAAAAACCTGAAACCCTAAAACCCTAAACCCTGAACCCCCAAGCGGCAAAGAAAAGCGGAGCCCGCCTGGCGCCAGAGGCGCCCCAAAGGGCCGCGGGAGCCCCGAGGGCGACGAGGGCGACGTGGGCCAGCGGCCCTGCAGCTGCAGGGTTTGGAGGGAGGGTTTTGGGGCTTAGGGAGGGGTTTAGGGGTTTAGGGGTTTAGGGGTTTAGGGGTTTAGGGGTTTAGGGGTTTAGGGGTTTAAGGGTTTAGGGGTTTAGGGGTTTAAGGGTTTAGGGGTTTAGGGGTTTAGGGTTTAGGAGGTCCACAAGGGATTTAGAATGTTTGGGGTTCAGGGTTCAGGGTTTATGATCTAGGGTGTAAAGGAGGGATTACAGTTTAGGGTTTAGGAAGCTCGGGCAATTCAGGCGATGGGCTAAGGGTTTGAAGGTTTGGGTGTCAACTTAGACTTATTTTCTAGGCTGGGCTTCGTTTGGGGGGGGGTCCTCTTTTGCAAGGGTGACTCAAAAAGAGACCTAATCTAGAGAATTGCCTCTGAAAGGATTTGAGCCTGAAGCCAACCCTAAGTCCTTAACAAGCGAGGGATATGGGCAAGCAACATCCAGGTTGGCCCCCTAAAGCCGTTGAGAAACTCTTCGTAAACAAGATCCTCTTAAAGCCCAACAAGAGAAGATAGTATCTATCCCACCTACCCTAAACCCAAAACCCACAGCGAAAACCTCTAAACCCCAAAACCCTGAACCCGAAATCGGAAAATCCCAAACCCCAAACCCTAGGCCCTTGTCTCACGCGACCTCATCTCCCTCGAAGGGATCCTCCTCGGGCTTGGCATAGCCTCGCAGGTGGGATCACGGCTTTAGGGTTGAGGGCTCTCCGGGTGAGGTTTGAGGGTTCAGGGGATGGGATTTGAATCTGAGACTTCAGGGTTTAGGGAGTTAGAGGCAGAGGGAGGTCCACAAGGGATCTGGAATGTTTAGGGGTTTAGGGTTCAGGGTTTAGGATCCGGGGTTTGGGGTGGGGATTACGGTTTAGGGTTTAGGAAGCTCGGGCAATTCAGGGGGTTTAAGGTCAGGGTTGAGGAAGCCCGCTTTCGGACTATGGCTTTGGTGCTCAAGCCCTAGACGGTTCAGGGTTTAGTTTCTGAGCTCTCCAGAACTCTATTGCGCTCGCTACAACAGAAAAAAGCAGAGCATTCGGCAGTCTAAACAAGAACCCTGGAACCCAAACAGAACTCCAAAAGTCACCCAAAATAAAACCCCTAACTCCCTAAAACTCAGAAAGAGAAACCCCCAAATCCCGAAAGCCCCGGCCCGGCACCCTAGAACAAAAACAAAAAAAAAAAACAGAAGCCCCGAAGCGAAGCGCTCGAAGCAAAGGCCAGGGGGCAGAGAATTCGGCCGGCCAGGTAGTCTCCCAAGTTCAGGCGGTCTGAGGCTGGAAATCCACCGGAAGGCTCCTGGCTTTCTTGGGACATGATCTATTTAGGGCTTTAGGCTTTAGGCTTTAGGGGCTTTAGGGACTTTAGGGATTGGGGATTAGGTTTAGGGTTGAGGGGATTTAAGTTCTCGAATTTGGGGTCTTAGCGGGTTCAAGCTTTGGGAGAGGAGGGCTCAGGGCTCAGGGTCTTGTTTTGACGCTTTGGGGTTTAGGGTTTAGGGTTTAGGATTTGGGGTTTGGACAAAAGAAGTTAAGCTTCAGGAGCGGTCGGAGTGCAGAATGTAAGGTTAAGGGTGGTTCCTCTCCCAACCCCCATATGTAAGCTTTTTGGCTGTTCCTCAACCCCTAGCCCCAAACACAAAACCCTAAACCCCCTAAACCTGAGACCCTGAAACCCTGAAACCCTGAAGCCCCTAAGCCCTAAAGCCTCAAGCTACACCACTAAACCCCAGAACCACTGAAATACCGCAACTCTCCGAGCAGCTCTCCTCCCCGGTGGCCAGGTAGCTCGAGATGTCATGCTTCAGGGCATCTACGAAGCCTCGGACTCGTTTAGGCTTTATAGGGGTTCAGGGTTTTAGGGTGTAGGGCTTGGGGTTTAGGGGTTTAGGGTTTGGGCTTTAGGGGTTCAGGATTTTAGGGTTTGGGGCGTGGGATTTGGTGTTTAGGGTTTAGGGTTTTAGGATTTAGGGGGTTTGGGGTTTTGTGTAGGGTTTAGGGTGTAGGGTATGGTTTCAGGATAGCACGCCTTCATAGTGCTTTTTGAAGGGCGCCGTACAATCTTTATCGGTCTTTTGGATTTTTATCTGTGTGATATGTAGGAAGAAAGGCCAAGAAATACTATATAGAGGTTCATGAAACGCAGTGTCGGGGGAACCCTACGCCCCAAATATTGATCAGTACAAGCGACAGCACAATGCAAAACCTGAAACCATCAACCCTGACCCCTAAACCCTAAAACCCAAACCCTTAACCACCCCTAAATGTAAGCCTGTACGTAAGCCTGCATCTTGGCCCTACATCCTTCAACTCTAAACCCAAACCTTACACCGTACCTATACTCGCCAGTGTAAGTCCTTCTCTGGTTTAAAACATTCATGTTCAGGATCCTGTACGGGAGCCCGAAAAAGCAATTGTCATGTATAGGACTCCCAAACCCCCGAAACCTGGGTGAGGATACGCTGGTCTGGCCGAGACACCGAGCCTGTCCTGCAGTACTTCGCTACCCATGTGCGCCTGCAAATAGGGCTTTAAACTGTGCTGGGTGCTGGGTTCAGGACTTAAGGTTCAGAGATAGTAGACAAGGCTTGGGTGCTTAAGGTATAAAAGGTTTAGGCTTCTGCATTCAACAGGTGAATTAACGGTTTGGTTTGGGGCGTTTGCAGGGGGTTTGCATGTGTGCCGCAGGGCTTTCACTTTTGGCTTGGAGTCCAGGATTTGAGTTTGGGGTTTGCTGCACGTTGGAAGAAGCTCCAGAGGGTTGACCTCGCAATGCCGGTCACGACAGTGGTAGAAGAAGAGGAAGGCACCGACACTAAGAAGCTAGTAAGCATGGCCCAGCATAGCGTTGAAAATGGTACTAGGGTTCAGGATTTAAGATCTACGGCCAAGTTTAGAGTCATGCTTGAATGCGAACTCAGACAATGACAGGCTCTGCCGAAAATGCCCTCTGTCTTCCCGCTCGGCCTGCAGCTGATCGAACTGGAAAGCCGAAATCATGAACCCTGCGCCCTCAAGAATCTTAAATCCTCATCCTTATACCCCAAATCCTGCACCATCCCCTGGGACCCTGCACAAACCCTAAGCCCTAGCACCCTGAACCCTAAACCCACCGTCGCACCGGAAGCAACGCGTCACCATGGGCGAAGGCTTGCCATCGCCATCGCCGGCCCAGGAAAACGGGAAGCGACAATTAACAGATGGAGGAAATCCGTTCATAGAACCTAAAGGTTCAGGGCTCAGGGTTTAGGGGTTCAAGCCCTTCTTGGAGATCGGGTGAAAAGGCCCGAAACTAACGCGAACAATGCTGCTGGTGCTGGTGTGGCTGGGTCGTTTTTCTGCTGCCCCTCGATTCTGCTAGCACTGACCTGGACAGGCTTCTTGAAGTCTTGTTCTGTAACCGATCTTTGTGCCACCTTTCGGGGTTGCTGCATGCTCATGGCCCGCACTCTACCGACGGAAACGCCGAGGAGCAAAATGCAAGCGAGCTCTTTTTTGCTACCTGCCTCGGCTCGAAATGCGGTACACAGCTGGTCGCAGAGCGCTTCGGAAAACAGCGGTAACCCCCAAAGTTCGACCCTAAATGCTAGAGTTGGACAACATAGGTACCCGTCTAATCTCAAACCCCAGAAATCGCTGCTTTCCTTTTCATCTCAGAGCGTCACACTTCCTGAATTCGTCTGAGAGCGGTCACGCGTCGGCTGTTGGCTTTTTGCCAATGGCCTTGTTGACCAAGCGGGTGCCCTTCCTTGCTGGCCTTGTTGGCCTCGCAGGTTGGGGCATCATAACAGAAAGGATCAGACTAAGACAAACAAGAATGAAAACAAGAACGCACAGAAAGAGTAGAATAAGACTCTAATTTCAGCAACACGAAGAAGGGCGCACCCTGCAATCTCAACCCTTCGCAGCACTAAACGCCACCGTCCCTCCCCTGGCTCCGTCTCCCCGAGGCACGGGCACGGGCGCGGGCGCAGGCTCCGGCTCGGTGGAGCTCGCCGCTCCTGCCAGAGCCGCCGCCGGAGCTGGCTCCGGTGCGCTTTCGGGCACTGGGACCATCTGGAGCCTTGGGCTTGGAGCTTCGGAGATGCGACTTTTGCAGGCGGGGGTTTCAGACTTCAGGCAACAAGGACAACAAGGCCGCAATGAGGGCTCGGCTGCAGCCAGTACAGTGGGTTGATGCTGGGATCCGTCGGGAAAACGCTGGCGCCGGCCGGGAAGTAGTACATGGGCGCCGTTTGGGCCACTGGCATGCCCAGGAGCCTTGGGAAGACCGCTTGATGGTTCAGGCTTTAGTTTTCAAGCTTCGGGGTGGAGGGTCGTGTCTTTGGACCTCTGCCAAGAACGCTGATGCCGGTGGGCCCCAAGAGATCCCCGCTGCTGAGCACGCGGCTGGTTCTGCCAATGCGGATTCACTTCCTCATGACGGCACTTGACTCCTCTTCTCAGGATCAGCTGCAAGTTTGTAATGATTGTGGGATCACTACTGCTTTGTCCAAGCTGCCGGGTTAATCGGGACCACGAGTGCCGGCGGCTGCACGAACGGCTGCGGGGCCTGCGGACATTTAAACTCCCGGCTCGATGTTATTTGGACGGTCGCTAGGCTGGAGGGTTGCATGCTCTTGGTCGCACGCAGCATGTTTGCCGGTCATTAACTATTGTGATGATGATTAAGTACACTCACTGCTACCACGACGACGACCACTACTACAATGTGGTTTATTCGCATTACTTTGGCTCCGACTGTGAATAAAGGGTTGGGACATCAGGCTTGAAGGTTTCCATGGCGTGAGCTTCGCAAAAATATTGTGGGGCTTCGAAGCTTTATTATCCTTCATGGCTGTGGCGCTTTTTGTCAGTCGAAGGTCCGGTAGAAGGCATGTGAGGCAGGGTTTAAGTGAATGTCAGTGGGGTTCGGAGGCTTGGAGCGCGCAAGGTCTGTACGGAGCACGGCTTGAAGGGTTATAACGCTTCAAGGGCTCAAAGTTCAGAGCAACCCCAAACCGTCTCAGACACTTCAGGTTTATACTTACGGTGTCATTGAAATTTGCAAGGTATACCCTACAAAGATACAAAAGCTCAAGGGTGGACATTGGCTCACAAACTTACAGTGTACAGTCTACCATACAAAGATACAAAAATACAAGGGTAGAAGTTGGCGTTACAAGCTTACAGTGTCCCTGAAGGTTGCAATTTCCACCATAGAAAAGGATTCAACAAATCAACGGTCAAAGCCTACCAAATTATACAAAGAACTCATGGGTGGACATTGGCGTTACAGACTTACGGTGTCTTTGACATTTGCAACGTCTACCATACAAAGATGCAAGAATTCAAGGGCGGACGCTGGCCTTACAAACTTACAGTGTCCCTGATATTTGCAAACTCTAGCGGCTCTAGCGTACAGAGATACACCAATTGACGACCCTGTAAGTTTGCAACACCCACCATACAAAGATACAAAATTCTAGGGTGGATGTTGGCGTTACAAACTTACAGTGTCCCCTGACATTTGCAACGTCTACGAGTCTACTTACTACTTACTGTACAAAGGTACAAGAATTTAAGGACTTGCATGGTCATTGAAGTTTGCAAAGTCTACCACACGAAGATACACAAATTCAGGCGTTACAACCTTACAATGTCCTTGAAACTTGCTATTTCTATCAGACAAAAATACAAACATTCAAGGGTAGACATTGGCGTTACAATGTTGCTGTGCCCATTGAATTTGCAGCAAAGTCTACCATACAAAGATACAAACATTCAAGTGTGGACGTCGACGACACAAACTTACAGTGACCTTGATTTTTGCAACGTCCATCTTACAAAGATACAGAAACTCAAGGTGGACGTCGGCGTTACAAACTTACAGTATCTGTGATACTTGCTCAGTCTACCATTCAGAGATACAAACATTCAAGGGTGGACGTTGGCGCTACAAACTTACAGTGTCCTTGAAATTTGCAAGGTCTAACATACTCAGATAACCGAAATCAAGGGTGGACGTTGGCGTTACAAACTTAAAGTGTGATTGAAATTTGCGAAGTCTACCTTGCAATACTACAAAATTCATGGGCGGACGTGGGCGTGACTGACTAACAGTGTTTTGAAATCCGAAAATTCTACCATACAAAAATACAAAAGTGCTAATGTAGACGTTGGAGATACAAACTTAAAGTGTAATTGCAATTTGCAACACAAAAATTCAAGTGTCGACGTTGGCGTTACAAACTTACAGTGTCATTGAAACTTGCAATGTCTACCATACGAAGATACACAAGATCAAGCGTGGACGTTGGCGTTACAAACTTAGGGTATAAATTGAAATGTTGCAAAGTCTGCCATACAACGATACCAAGATTCAAGGGTGGACGTTGGCATTGCAAACTTACAGTGTCCTTCATTGGTATAGGCTATCTGTACAAAAAATAAAGGGTGGATGTTGGCGTTACAAAACTTCCAGTGTCTCTGAAATGTGCAAAGTTTACACCGTACAAAAACACACACAAAATCCAGGGTGGACGTTGGCGTTGCAAACTTACTGCCTAAAAGGGACCCTAAACTTCGAGATCTACCCTTCTAGCACCCTTGTAAAACCCCCAGCATCCTCGGCATCCCCTCTCGGGAGGTCTGACTTTGACTTTGCCCAGACCCCCCTTCTACCCTATTAGACCCTAAATGCCCCTTATTTGGGACCATATAAAACTATTTGAGGGTACAAGGAGGGTCCTGGCGTGTTTCAAAAGTTGAAAATGAGTCTTACTTTCTCTTTTTGTTGCGGGGTTGGGCTTGGGATTTGGGAGACGATGCCTGTCTTTACGGGCGCTCTCTGTGTCAGGCAGGAAGTGGTTTCACTCCTGGCGCCTGACACAGTCAACTGAGCTTGGCAACACAAACATACCAACAACTCACAACCACAGGTTCTTTAAAAAAACACAGGTTTCAAAAATCTAAAAACCTATGTTTGTTGAAAAACCTAGCACAAGACTTAACCCTACACATCCTTATATGCATTCAGCTAGGACAAGCTCGTAGCACAGCAAAGTTCTTAATTACGTGGACCTCTGTGTCGCGTGCAGCCAACATCGTACTACATCAAGCCATATGGGTAGTTCTCCAAACTCGGATCCCGTTCTAGGTCCCATAGATACGGCACCCTTATGGAAAGGACACTGAAAGGGACCGGAACTATTTAGAGAACTACCAGATAGCATGGGAGGGTTCTTGCAGGGAACTGTCCGAGCTCTTGAGTCTCAAACCCAGAAACTCCAAAACCCCTCGCCCCTAAGAGTCATCTTGCCTCTGCCGCGCCGTCAGGTCCAGTTGTGAGGCTGGCTGCGTGGTCGACCTGCAGAAAGTCTGTCTTGTTTGGTTTATTTACGTTGAGGGCTTCGGCATCACACCCGGACACGGGAGACAAGGCATGTTCGTGACGGTCTGACCCATCCCAGATTTTGGAGTATTAAGTAGCTGTAGGCGTAATGGGCTGACTTCGTTTGGACTCGAAAGACTCTCATCTTGTCTGTATAAAACGTATTTACCTATATTGTTATACCGTGCCATGCATGCTAGTATTTAACCCCTACATAAAGCCTGGGTGCCCGAAGACATCTTCGCAGGGAACGCCCAAACACATTTTGCAAGGGCTTTGTTGAGACAAGCACACGACTCCAGCAGTTGCAAACCAAAGGCCCTCAACTAAACCCTGAACTCCAACGGCCCTACTAAGACCAACTCGACATAAGGGCCCTATGGCCAAGCATCGCATCCGCGGCCTTGTGGGCGACATCCGTGAGCAGCTGCAGGGGAATCGAGTCCGGAGCTTCCTCTTTAGGCCCAAGGACTCCAATAACACGGGAAATCAGAAAACTAGGGTACCTTTTTTTGGGTGTCCTTTTAGCAAGGATCCTACTGCTTCGGGTCCATGATCAGGTCCCCCAATTGCTCATGTAGAGGGATTGCCTATTCAGAGTAGGGTTGTTGGAGCACAGCAAATTATGATTCTACTCAGGAACCTAAGGAAAAACAGTAATAGTTGTTCAGGCAGCAGTGGAATCTTGAGTCGGTCCAGTTGCCGGGTCACCTGTCTTTCGACCACCATACAATGTAGGTGTATAGCTACAGTAAGTGCCAATAGTTAACACAAGGCAAACACAACAACGTTTTGTGAGTAACTGTGCGTCCACGATGTCATTAGAGCTTCACGGCATGGCCAAACGAGCCAATTCATTGACGGTTCCTTGCCCACTCACTCCCCAGGCTAAGTCTTCGTTGTTGCAAAACCGAAGGGATTCTTCGAGTATGTCTTGTGTAAACCAAAGAAATACCAAAACTGTCGAAAGGTACTTAGGCGAGTCTTAAACGTAGCCAGTCCCGTAAACCCGCAGCCGAAGGTGCTCGTGGCGAAACAACTTAGCCAACTCCGACATTCAGGACTTCGGGCTTTGGCTTTTGGGCGTAACTCGGACATGAAACGGTGGTTGCGGTTCTGTTGGTCTGAGCTTCTTCTGCCAGTCCCACACGCGCACGGCGCCCGAACAAAAACCCGACGTGAAAGTTGTCAGCTGCCGAACGAGCATTTCTCCGCCACAAGTGCGTGTTGCTTGCATACCCTTGAAGACTGACATGTGTAGTGACCTTAGTGCGAAAGCATTGCATCCACAAACTTGAAAGCTATTCGGGTCCAAAAACTCAGAGGAGCCTCTGTGACCTTGGCGCCCAAGGAACAGGAGCCTGGCTGTCGAACACCGCCTATTCTAAACCTACTTTATGGCTTGTTCGGGTTGTGGGGGTCTTCGGTTTCAGCATTTACATCTCCTCGGAGGTCACCACCTAGACGTCTGAGCGTTCAGCTCAAGCATAAAATGGTGCAAGGTGAGGGGTCAAACATGTCTTGAAGTGGAGGTTCGAAGCTCATGGCCCTTCACATGCAACCCCTCAACCCTGAAACCATTTTCCGAAGACTTATCAGTCCAGCACTTGCTTAGAGCATGTGGTGTGGGCCTTAGCACATATGGTTCCGGTTTTCGAGCACAGGGCTCTAAGAAATAATGCTTTTTGGTTTTCTGTGTTTAGCGCGCCGGCTCACACATCCAAAGACTCACACCCACACCTGCATCGTCGATCGGCGTGACATGCGATGGAACATCTGTTGGGGCAGGCTGCTGCAGTCCTTGGTAGGGGGATGGGAAAGTTCACGCTGTGCATTAGTTCAAGCCAGAACCCGTGAACTTCACAACTGCTTCTCCTGTAGAACCGGGAATGTCGAGCACTAGCATATACTAGCATGAAGAGACGTCAAACTCGAAGCCCTCAGCAACCAAAGAACTACTCAAAAACAAACTGGTGTGACACATCTCAAAAACGCCTCTCCCTCTTTGCATCCGCGCAGGCTGGTCCTACGACCCAAGTACAACATCAACTTAGAGCGGACACCTCTACTGGGAACTCTGATGCGGACATCGATCGCCTACCAAGCTGCTGTTTCAACACGAACCAGCAGTCTAACGCCCTAGACCTTCAGCTGTCAAGTGAAGTAAAATACCACACCTCTTGGCATGAGACCGGAGGTTTAAAGCTGGAGCTTTCGTAGTTTGTAACCAGTTTCGACTCGCACACTCGCAGCAGGCACCAGTCTAGAGTCTATAGTGCATGAAGTAGATGCTTAGCAAGCTTGTTCCTCCCTGCCTTGCTCGGCGAGGCTCCAAAGAGACTTCAGGTCGAGTTATCTGCGGAAATCGTGTCGATAACAACACCCTAACTGCCAAGCTTGTGTTTTTGAGGAGGGGGTGCAGTGCACGTACTAAACCCTAAGCCCTTCAACCCGTACGCCGTACATCTTACACTGCCGCTCAAGACGGACTCAACGAGCCTCAAAACACTAGGCCAATGGGGGGCTCGCGCCTCCGTCCTCGCTCGCCTCAGCCTCCAAAACGCTTGAAAAACTCTAAACCACCGGATACACGCTCAGAAATCCTCAGAACTCACCCGTGTGAACCAAACGGGGCCCAAACACAAACCGACTGGACAGTTCCAAAAATCTAGCCCTTCGCCCTAGCATGTAAGTCGACACTACCCCCCCCCAAAAAAAAAAAAAAACATCTACAGAAGAAAGTGCTCTAGAAGCCGAACTGTCCGTGCCCTCAACACCCGTTTTGCCCGGAACCTCGAGTCCCATAGCCTCACATCACCTGAGGCTCCGAACCGGTGGCAGGTTGTGGGGCCTTGGAAAACATGTCAAGCTTCAGGGAATCATTGCGGATTTGGCATTGTAACTTCCCGCCGACTGCAATTGAACTTCCCGACGATGCAACATACAAATCTGCGTATATACGTGCATACGGATTCGCAGAGTCTTGTATTTCATACGCACCCATGAGGGAGAACTGTATACACACATAAATGCATCGCATGCCCTCGTAAACATATACGTATGCATGCATGTATGGAGTACCTGCAAGAATACCCTAGGTACAAGATGCGCACGTCGTGCATGCATCATAACTAGCAAGAGTAATGCTGAGGTATGTGTTCCTTCTGCCACAGGTATACCCTGCATTAGTTCCTGGATGGCACCCTGCAATCCTCCGTTCTATGCTTTTGTCTCTGACTATGCAATTACAATGCCCTGGTATATGATCTTTTCCCGCAAGCGAACACCAGTATGAATCGTCATGTGCTTCTGTGTTGCCTGTATGGCTCAGTACTATAAATTATCTTACCTTAGCCCTTCTCTCCGACCCACAACAGTTTTGGTTGCAGTTGCAGGTAAGTTCAGGCCAACCAAAAACCCCCAAAAAATTCCTTAAGCCACTCGCAGCTCCACCGTTCATGCACAAGAAACACTCGGACCACCAGGTGCGGCACAGTCGGAGTTGCTCCCATCTCTGCCAAACTGGCCTGGGACAAGCAATGGTACATGGGCTGTGGAGGTGCTTGCAATCTTCAAGGCCATGAGGGCACGTTAAATGCATGGTGCTTTAATCATGTTTCTTATGTACTTGAGCCGTATTGCAAGTACGCCAGCCCCAATCCGGGCACATAGAGCCGTGCTTGCCATCTTCTGAGCCTTGAAGTACAAGTTCGGTTATGGCTTGTAGATTTGACCATGTTGAGCTTCAAGTGTTGGGCCAGGCCGGAATCAAAGTCCTCCCAGCTCGAGCACACAAGCATTGTACTTTGTTTCGTCTGCACCATGAAAAACTCCGGAATCTTTTTGAGGGAAGATAAGGAACCTTTGATTTGCAGTTTCTGCTGGTTGTTCTGTGTGACTCAATTCCACAGTCGCTCGAGAACGCTTGCTCCGAGTTTGTGGATTACGCGTCTGGGCGCAAGGATTGATATACATGTCTTGTAATAACCATGAACTACAACCCCTTTCAGTCCCAACGCAACTATACCACAAGAACTTGCAATGTTGAAAGACTATTGTGATTAGGACTGTGATTACTACCATTGTTACTATGATTTCTACTGTCATTGTTACTGTCATTGTTATTAGTACTGTTGTTTTGATTATGACTATGATGGTTCCTACTACGTATATTAACTGAGGCTTCGAGAAGTCTTATGGTGTAGAGTTGCGGGCTGAAGATCCGAATCCAGTTTCGGATTGGGTCGTTTCTCGCGGCAGAAGGTTAGGGTTTAGTTTTTTTGCCACCTGCCCAGCTGAACAATGTCGCACCGCAGGGAAGACGTAGGGTTTGGTTTTGGGTTTTGGGTTTAGGGTTTAGGGTTTAGGAATACCAAAACCAAGGCTTAAAGTCCAGTTTAGTGCTTAAAGTACAAGACTTAGATGTGTGGGTCATATCTAACCTGGACGCTGCATCTGCTAAACAGCACGACAGTTTGCTAAACAGCACAACAGCTTTCGAGCACAACATCTTCTAGCCGCATAGCCATGTCGTGCCGAAATCCTTCGACTTCAATATCAGCAATGACATCTTACTCAGACGCGAGACGGAAGAGGGGACGGCCACCGGGTAGTCCTGGCAGCAAGCATGTAATTTCAACCTAGCTTCGACAATTAAAAGAACTGATGGGCTCATAGATACGACCCTGTCAGCATTGTTCTTTCAGTGTCCTGCATCTTCATGATTCGTAGTCCTTGTGAGTACAAGTACTACTACCATGTATCATGAATGCGGCCGCACCAGAATCCTGAATCGGAGCCCAAAACCTTGGAAGAGCCGACCGTCCTGAACCCATGACCCAGGCAACGAATAAGCTCAAACTCATGCTATATCACCGAAAGGGGGAACCTTAACACTTTCTCGAGTTCTCCCCTTGACTACGTGAGGAAAGATCTCGACTTGTGCCACAGCAGCTCCCCGGATGCAGGAGCATCTGCCTCACGAGCATAAGAGCTCGTCAGACAACCTTTAGACAGCCTTTCGAAGGTGAATCTCATTGGAACAAAGCGTTGGTTTGTTCTACTACTTCGCTCTGATGTGTTTTCGCAGGGCTCTGGACGTAGGCCTTGCCAGAAGGACTGTGCAAATCGCTTCCTACCGTCCAGCATTGCATGTGCCTTGTCCTGCACTGGCTAGACCACTTTATGGCGATACGGTTTCACTGCTTCCAGATTATGCGTCGCATTGCAGAACAGAAATCTCACACTAGATCTTACATTGATGATCTCCATGGCCTCTGGAGAACCGGGAGAAGAGGTTGCGGACGTCGTTGTGCTCAGACTTCTTGTCCTGAACCATGCAGCTTGACATACGCACTGAATCCTATGGGGTAGCCCACCTCGACCTACTGAAGCCCATTTCGGCCCGGAGCGCTCCAGGCCAGTCTTCAACATCTTCCTTGCAATCAAGAGATCAACATGGATGTGTTCCCCTCGCACTTGCATCCCGGACCTTGGTGTTGGGCGTCTTCCCCTGATCAAGACAAGGTCTGCTTGAAGTTGATGAGTGGCTTGTGAGCGGAAAGTCGAGGTATCACTAGCTATAGCACAAAACATGAAAAGATGAAGGGACGGGTGACGCTTCAACACTCAGTACTTGCATCTGGGCTGGTGTTGAAAGTCAACACTTGATATATGCGTCTGGGTGGTTGTGAAAATCAAGACTCGGTACATGCATCTGGGTGAGTTTGAGGTCAGAGAACTCAACCTGCGTTGGCAAGAAGCTGCCGTGTTTTCTGCTTTCATTTTCCGAACGCGGCCGGCGTTTTATGAATGATGCTACTCTCATGAAGGGACTGCAGCGTGAACTCAAGTTGAGGAGTTCAGTACAGCTCTTACCCAGGCATGGGGATACCCTTCTCCCGGACCCGACAAATCGGGAGCCTCACGAACTCCGGTGCAGAGCCCGGCGCAGACGCCGCCCATGGCTGTGCATACAGAGGACTGCCAGTCTGTTTGCAAAGGCACCAATGCTTGCAAATCCCCAGTGTTTAGGGCATGGTTGCTACTGCTACGGCTACTAATATAGCGACTTTGCTATCAAGTTTCTCCCGACGGGACTGTGAACCGCGGAGCCATGATACCGATATTCCGTATGTCTACAGCAGTGCACACAACTTGAAGACCCGACCGTTTCTAATTGTACTTGGCCCAACGACCACAACGAAATAATTAGCATAACAGCCATCATAAGTGTGGTAAGCATAAAACACAAGAACGACACGGTTCATAAAATCTCAATGGTGCAAGCGTCACATCAAAACCCCAGCACTGTTTAGAAACTCAACAAACGGACGATGAAATCTTTGCAGATATGCACAGAACCTTCTGGAGAACGGCTGAAAAACTCGAGGCTAGCACCAACATTACTGGCGGATACGTCAGTTTTTGGATGGCTGTTGCGTTTTCATAGCGAAAGAAGCGGCTTGACTTGTTGTGCCTCGTATGTTTGCGCATGCTCTCTGGTTGAATCGTCGTTCCTCGGCAGGCTGCTCTTGCTGAATGATCATGACCCACACTGTACCAATGGAAACGCCAACAAGCAAAACAGAAGCCGGGCGTTGCTGCTAGTTTCCTCGGTGCGATAAGGAGGAACAGACAGCTAGCAGCTAGTCAAAGAGCATAGCATGGGTAGCTTCCAAATCGGGGGACCCCACTTTCGACCCTGGATGCTAAAATCCGGCACCCAAAACAAGGCACACTCATAGTCTGAAAAATCCACCTGGTAAGGACACCCAAAACAAGGCACTCCTGCTGCCTCAAAGATGTCAGCCCCTTTCATTGCAAGCAATCACACGTCAGTTGCCGTCTTTTTGCCCATGGTCTTGCTGACCCGGCGGGTGCCCCTCCTTGCTGGCCTTTGCTGTCCTCGCATCATGGCATGACATGAGGACTCATGACCATAACAGCGATAATCGTAGCAGTGCTGGTAACCAGAAGAAGAACAAGACCAATGACCGGAGCAAGAACAAGAAGAAGCTATAATCAGAACTTTAACGATTCTAACACATGTCACAACACGAACTGCAATAGCTCGAACCTGTCGCCTTGGAACCTTCGCCAAGACCGTAAACACTTAATCCCTTGAATCCTTCAACCCTTCAGACCCTGGAACCCTTAAACTTTTGCTTAAACCCTAAACTTTCGGTTTAGGGTTTGGGGGTGTAGGGTTGCCTGAAAGGGTTTAGAGCTTCGGGGTTTAGGGTTTAGGGGTTCAAGGTTTTTTTGTTGAGAGCCTTTTTCCTGTGCATGGAGAGCCTCAATGAGGGAGGCCCAAGTCCCGCTACCTGAATTCAGCTTCGCTCACTGCTCACCTTCGTGAATCCTCAACCCGCAGATTCTCAGCTTCCGCCATCGCTGCTGTACCGTTCTGCTCTGACCTCCCTGCTTCCTCGTCGACAGTCACAGACACACCTTGGGGACCCTGATCCACACCATCACTGCCACCCTCGGTCTCCACAGCAGCTTCATGCAAACCGAATCCAACATCGTCTCGGCCCAGCACTGCAGCCTCCACTCTTCCCGGCTGACAGTTCAACTTTAGGGGCTTAAGGGTTTAGGGCAACAATAGCTGGCCTCGCTGGCCTTTTTTCCTGCAGCCTGCGGATGCAAACTCTGCTGATCCGGCGATGAGAACGTCGCTGATGGCCCAAGCAAACGCCCCGTGTTGCTAGAGCATGGTTGGAGCGGTAGTTCTCGTTCTCTAATGTTCTAACTGCAGCTGTTGTTGATGGTTGATGTTGCTGCTGTTGTTGCTGTTGTTGCTGCTGCTGGTGCTGTTGCTGGTGCTGCTGCTGTTGCTGTTGCTGCTGCTGTTGTTGTCGTTGCTGCTGCCGTTGTTGCCGTTGCTGCAGCTGTTGCTGGTGCAGCTGCAGTTGCAGTTGCAGTTGATGTTGCTGTCGCTGTTGCTGGTGTTGTAGATGTCGACTGACGCGCTGGTCGTCGTGGTAGCAGGCATCGTCGCTGTCGCCGTCGTCGTAGTAACATGAAAACCCAAACTGTTGCTGCTACTCCTAGCACACCTCCCATACACACGCAATGATTACGATCCTTTGTTCCTTTTGCAAATGTGATCAAGTCTGGGCGTTGATGCTGTCCTTGCAGCAGTTGTTCTTTGCGTGGTCTTTCTAGACCCAAACCCTAAACTCCAAGCCGTACTGGTGAACTGATGCAAACCTGAGCATCCGCGTCTGGTGTCTGCGGCGCCTCGGCTGAACCGATTTCAAGCTAATACAGATTCAGTATGGATCGGGACGCTTTTGTAATTGTACCAAAAAGTTGAGAATTGACAATGATATTGCGGTGCTGATTTCCGGGTTCTGCATAAAACACGGTCTGCAGATGCATAGGGCTTGCTTCAAGCACTGAGCTAAGGCATTGGACTTGGTTGGCGATTGATATTTTCAGCGCCGTGGCAAAATGATGTGCATGCCGCCCTGTGCCGCGCCTCGGCGTTCTCCGACCGTCGTGGTGATGAGGGCTGCCTGACAGTGTCGCATCATGTCGCAGCACTGCAGTGAAGCCGCTCCTACGTCCTACGTCAGCTTGCACCCATCCTCGACATCGCGCCCAACATCATGTGCACTTTCGGCAGCTGCAGCCTGACCCAGGCACAAGGTTTTGCTTCCGTGCGCTTCACCTCAATGCAGCCCGCAGTCATTTTACTGTTGTTGCACATGTGCCCAGCCACCTTCTTGACTGGACACAGGAAGTCGTCCAACGGGTTGTTGTGCCTTGAGCAACAAGTAACCAGTCGGCCCAAGTGCCAGGCTCCAGCACTGCAGTACTCCAATGCTCAGCCCTGAACCTCAACCTGCCCCATTTGGTGGCACTTCCTCGCGCTCTCGTATCCTATGTGCTTGCGGCGGTCGGCCCCATTGGCGGTGCATCTGATAGTTATACAGCGAAATATCGTCGATACATGTAACAAAGTTGCTACCAACGATAAGGAATATGTGAATGGCAACAGGTATGGATGAGAAAGCAGCGCAAGTTGTAATGAGTAAACATGAGTAGACCAACTCTTCTGAGCAACAACTGCTCTTGAGCCTTATGTAGGGTTCCTTAAAGGGGTCTATAAGGGCTGCTATAAGGAGAATCATTCAACTTCTCCGACTGCTTCGGAAGTCTCACGCTGCAGAAGTTCGCCCATCTCCTTGAGCCTGACCCTAAACCCTACAGCGACCCATAATCTCCATGGAATAATAACCGGATCCTTAATATGATTTAAGGATTTTTTAATTAAGGGATGTTGGAGTCCCTGGTGGAAGTCTAAATAACCTCATTCATCGGTGCATTAGGAGCACAACTTCATAAAATCGCTCCAAACCCACACACCCAAACCCGAAGCTCTGGCAACACAGCTTTGCTGTCCTTCAGCAAGTTTGACGTTGATCCTGTCGCTGCTCTGCCCGTCTCTGAAATGAGGATCCACGTCAAAACATGTTACAAAACCAAACCGTCCTTAAGCCCTAAACCCGACAGCTTAAACCCTAAGTATGCTACGTGCACGGCCACCAATACCATGTCGGGAGCTTCGGAAAACAAAAAACGATTGCGAACAGTTAAGGAGCTACTCACCCTGCAGCCCAAAACCCCTGAACAAGAAGACGCTTAATGCAACCCTCCCAGAAATAGAATCTAAGGTCCATGGTAGACCTAACGCCCTTCAACCCATATACCGCTAAGGTGACTATAGAACCTTTCTGATAACCTTAATCATGAAGCTCTTACAGAACTCCTACTTTCCCTAAATATCTCTCCCAGTGACTGTAGCTCAAGTAAGGGCGCGGCAGCCAAGCACCAAGCAAGGCCGCAACACCACCGGCGCCCAAGCCAGCGCCGAGGCCCGCCTTGGTTTCAAGCGGGTTTTGGGTTTAGGGGTTGAAGGGTTTATGTAGGGGTTTAGGGTTTAGGGGTTGAAGGGTTCAGGGGTTAAAGGGTTTAGGGTTGTTTGCGAAAGGTCTTAAGAAGGTTGTAAAGGTTTGCAAGGAGTTTAGTGAGTCGGAAGTTAAGGGTTTAGGGATTGGGGTGTAATGGCCACTGCGAGCGCCAGTGGGGCTTCGATGGAGTTACAGGATTGTATAGGGCTGCTACCGGCTTTATAAAAACATTGTAACAAGGCTTGTGGAGTGTTGCAAAGTGTTACTTTACTGCAACCTGCAAGCGTCGGCGAGGTGGTGCTAGTGGTGCTAAGGGGCATTCATAGGCTTTGTAGCGTTTTGTGACGGTTGTAGTTAAGGTCTAGAGGGCTGTGTACAGGATTGGTTTTGGGAGTTGGGGATAACCCAAAATCAAGGCTTTAGCAGCAGCAGCAGCAGCAGCAGCAGCGATAGCTGTAGCCGTAGCCGTAGCAGTAGCAGCACCAGTACCAGTAGCAGTAGCAGTAGCAGTAGCGATAGCAGTAGCAGTAGCAGCAGCGATAGCAAAAGCGAATGCAGTAGCAGTACCAGTAGCAGTAGCGATAGCAGTAGAAGTAACAGTAGCGGTAACAGTGGCAGTTGCAGTAGCAGTAGCGGTGGCGATAGCAGAAGCAGTAGCAATAGCGATAGCGGCAGATAGAGCAGTAGCATGAGCCGGAGGAGGAGAAGAAGGGACAGGAGCAGCAGTAGCAGCAGCAGGAGCGGCAGGTAAGTACTAACGCGAGCAGGAGCATCAGCAGCAGCCCCAGGAGTAGTGATTGCAGTCACAGCAGGAATAATGTTGCTGTTGCTGTTTCGTGTTTGCTGCTTCTGCTGCTGTTGCTTGTGTAAAATGTTCTAAGTTGTCGTTATTGCAGTAGTTGCTACAGCTGTTGTTGATAGTGTGTCTAGTGTCTCTGCTGCGTTTCTTGCTGTTGCCACCTACCACTGGCAATGGTCGAGTTGGCTACTGTCGTATCTGTTAGCGTCTCTTTTCCCTACCTTCATTCTGCGGTTGACAGCGCTGTGCCAAGTCGCTGCCCAAGACTGGGCCGCAGGAGCCGCCACCGCCAGCAGAACCATATTGCTTGAGACGGTTTCCCGAGGCTTCGCGGCTCTGTTGGGTCAAACACTCACTGCGATCGCAAGCTAGTTCAAGTATTTTGTGGGCGTTTCTTGTTGCATTGCCATCGCTTTGCTCGCCTTCAGAAGCACGCACTACTCGGGTTGAGCAAAAAGCTTCGATTTGTCCGGATAGTGCTCAAGACCTTCACACACATGGGATGTTGCAAGCACTAGTCGGTCGACATGATTTCGGCACAGGTGTGATTGCATCTTCATCTCGACTTTGCGCTCACTGCTGCCCATACCCCCACATCAACTAGCAATTTAGAACTGGGCAGGCCACCGCGCAGCAGCACAACAGGACATTCATGCTGGGGTCTGGTCAGCGCTGGATGTCGAGAATCTCGCTGCAGCAGGCTACCAGCCGCCGGTGCTTGTACCGTGGATCACTGTCATTGCTTCTCTTCTTCCCGCCGCCTGCAGAGTGAGGCAAACTACCAAAGATCGACCACCTTCTCAATGGGAAAGAGCGAAAAGATCATCGTGGTGCTCATCATGTACTTCTGATCAGTGAAGAGAAAAAAGAAAACACAGCAGCAAGCAGCTCCGTTTCAAAAGCAGACGCCTCAACTGATCGAAGAAACCATGCTCGTCAAGACGCCTGTCCAAAGCCTACATACCCGAGAACAGCACGAAATTCTCCTGAAAAGCATGACGCTATTAGTGTTTGTTCATGAAGCTGCGGAACGTGACCTGGTGACGCCTCTGCGCATGGAACTGGATTCCCAATTCGGACCACCCTCCGCGGCCTGCGCCTCCTCACTCGCCCGTGCAGTCCAGAGCAGAGGCGCCCTCTGCAAAAAAACAAGCGCGAGGACGAAGACAGCAATCATGTGGCACAGAAGCATGTCGACATGGATATCCATATATGCTCTCGGGTCCCGGGCCCCCCCCCCCCCCCCCCCCCCCCCCCCCCCCCATGGTATCCCCCCCCCCCCAACCCCCTGCCGCCCTGCTGCTGCACGCCCACCTGCCCTGCCCGCCCCGCCGCCCCCGGCCCGCACCTTGCCTGCCCCTTGACCTTGTGCGCGGATCGGGAGTGTCGCACTATGCCCTGCCGTGTGCGGAAAGCGGCATCTGACGTGAATTGCAATGCTGAATTATGAGGGTTGTATTGCGATGGTGATGGTGGCAGATCTTCTTTTGAAGGTATCAATGATGAACATGACGACGACAAGAATGATGTTGAGCATGGTATGATCGTCGACTCATGTCCCGGTCTAGAGCAGCACAACATCATGAGCAGTATCACCGGTGCCACAACAAGAGGGAAGACAAGGAGTAACACATAAGAACGTCGTGGCAAAAAGAGTACCACCACAGGCCCCACACCACAGGGGGGGCGGGGGGGAAGGGGGGAGGATACCATGGGGTGGGGGGGGGAGGGGGGGTGTGGCAGCCCTGCATCATATATGCATGTGTATACATGTAATATGGACATTGCGGCCGATGCTCATAGTACGGTTCTTCAAATGAGGTGGGTGAAAAGCACTTCACTACACTATGAAGCGGGATCTCCCCTTTTCCAAGAGCAAGGGCAACAACAAATGGAGATGGCAACAGCAGTAACAATACTAGCAACAGTGACATCGATAGGAACAGCGGCAGTAAGAACTCTTCATACTGGTACAAGCAATGATCCCCCCACACACTCCTCTGCAGAGTTTGCTGTTTGGCACTGGCATCTCGTGCAAGAGTCGACAGCCCTAGAGGCCTTATGTTACCAAATCTTATATTGAATTATATGATATCTTATCAGATTATATGATATGGTATTATATTGCTATGTTAAGTTATATGAGATGCGAGCGAAAGATGTAAAGCTGGATACGGATGCAGGGTTTACGGCAGTATAGCTCAAGGTGTTGGGGTATTCGGGTTTCGGGATGTCCAAAAACCCGAAACACGAAAAGCCTTGGCATCAGACCTTGCCGATCTCCTGTCTGTCTCGCGAAATTGCCACAGCCGCGCTGTGGAGCCTGGCGTGAGGCTTAAGGCAGCGTCAAGTCGTCGGCGGTACGGCGGAAGCTCGAAGGGTTTCGAATTTCGGGATTCAGGGGAAGGGGATTCAGGCTCTAGGGCTCTAGGGGCCTTCAGCTTTAGAGTAGGGCATACGGTAAAGGGGGGGGGGGGCTGGTGCAGAGTTTAAGGTTTGAGCCTGAAGGATTGCAGAGTCAGCCGTTCGACGTGCCGTCATGATGAGTGTGTCGTCGCAACAGGTACCGCGGGGGCTTTCGCTTCAAGATCTACACTACACAAGTAACTGTCAGGGGTGGACATGCTTGTATCCCGAGTTGCACAATAAGACACACATACATACACATCGCCTGGACAACACAAATGGAACACAACATCTCAGCAACAACACTGAGTACATCTCTACTAGACCCTAAGCACACGCCGCTCTGCCAGCCCAGAATATTCAAGCTCTTGGATCAAGATACCGATGGCTTCCACTGCCTCTGGGCCGCCAGCAAAGATCGGAAGACAGCGCTGCAACTTGTCGCAGAAGGTCGTCCAATGATCTGCTCAGGCTTTGAAGAATGGATAGTAGAGTAAAATCGAATCAATATAACAATATGCTATAGTACAGAACCTAGGTCGTCGTGGTGGTCGTAGCAGACATGCTTCCCCCTCCGGCATGATTAGCTCAACTTGCAACGTGTATATTGTCGCACATACCCCTCTTATCATGCACTCTTGTCGCTCTCATGTTTCTACCTATCCTAAACTCTCCCCTTGTTGTACCCTGAAAGCGGCCTATAGTACTGCAGCGATGCCCTGATAGTGCCCTTACGGAACCCGTAAAGGTGCTGCCTCCTGTACATGGCCGAGAGCTCGCACGGTTCCCAAGTGTTGAAAAACCCAAATTCCGGGGCTCCGGTAAGGGTTCCATCAGGGCTGCTCCGAGGGCTCTCTATAACCCAAATCCCAGACATGCCAAACACCTCTCGCCCTGGAGCCAGGGTTTAGGGTTTCCCTAAACCCTAAACCCACATGCACCCTAAACCCTAAACCCAAATACCTTAAACCCTAAGCCCTAAACTCCTAAACCCCTAAACCCCAAACCCCAAATACCCTAAACCCTAAACCCAAATACCCTAAACCCTAAACCCTAAACCCCTAAACCCCAAACCCCCAAATACCCTAAACCCAAAGCCAGGGTCCATGTGAGCCTGGCCTCATCTTCAGCGCTGCGAACTCCAATCCAAGCTTCTCGGAGATGGACGCGCCCTGTGTCAGACTTAAGCTTTGGGCTTTGGGGCTTAGGGGTTTAGGAGTTTGGGTTTTGGGATTAGGGTTTGGGGTTTAAGGGTTTAGGGGTTTAGGGGTTTAGGGGTTTTGGGGTTTTGGGGTTAGGGTTTTGGGGGTTTTTATATTCTCGCATTCTTATAACAATACTGTGTATTTTCTAGAACTCTCTGCGAGCCCTTAAACCCTTTAAGCCCCAAAAGCCCAAAACCTGAAACCTGAACCACTAAACCCTTCAGCCTTGTTTTGACTTCGAACCTGTACAGTGCCCTTGTACAGCTCCGAAGCCACAACTTTCCTTAAAACCCTTGAACCCCTCAAAACCCCCAAACTCTACTCCCTGACAGCCCTCAAACCCCTAAAACCCCTACCTAGACCCCTAAATCCCTAAGTCCCTAAAACCCCTCAACCCGATCTGAGACCCCCATTTTTCCCCTCCGAGCCTAAACCACCGCCTTCGGCTCAGCTCGGAAAGCGGCCCTGTAGCAGTCGAAGGCCCAGGAGGGCCTCCCGAAGCTCCGGTGGCAAGGGCGCCTCCAGGTGCACCTGGTGTAGGGTTTAGGAATTCAAGGTTCAGGGTTCAGGGTTTAGGGTTTGGGGTTCAGGGTTTAGGGTTTAGGAATTGGGGTTCAGGGTTGGTTTTACCCAGGGTTGTTATGGGGTTTATAGGAAGTTTATGAGTGCACTACAATATTGCTTTCTCAGGATTTTGGGAATGGGTGTTGCAACGGCACTGTGGGATTCCAGAGGAGTGGTGGATGTTTTTTTTTATGGAGATTCTGCTGTTGGGAATCGGTTTGCCCGGGCTCTGAAGGGTTTGCGGGAATTCTGGCAGGGATCTCCACGGTGTTTAAAGGATTTTCTGCCTTGTGCTATGTTCCAGTTTATCGAGTGTTATTGGGACGGAAGGGTTCCCTTGCCGGGGTTTGGATTGAAGTAGCTTCGGGATTGGGCTTGTGGTTTCGGACCCCAGGATTTCGGGTTGAGGGTATACGGTTTCGGGTTTAGGGTTCGGGGTTTGGGGACTTGGTGACTTGGTTTCTTTCTTGGGTGTGGTTAGGCTATGGGATATTTAGTCTTCAGGCTTCTGAGATTTGGGTTTGGGAGTTTAGGGTTTAGGGTTTGGGGATCTGAGGTCTTGCTTTTGCGTGGCTCATTTCCCCGAAGTCTGGGACAAAGACATATGAGTCATAGTGGTTCCACGTTTTGCATACACTGTGGGCTCTTCTGGACTGGACGGTTTGCGCATGCTCTGCGTTACAGGCTTGTAATTACAACGGTACGAGGCTTCTAAAGCCCCAAACCCTCGCCCTTAGCCTTAGCCCTGACCCCTGAAACCCTACACCTCCAAACCCCAACCGCTGAACCCAACCAACCCCGAAACCGCAAAACCTTGCAACCTCTCAACCAAACCTCCGACAAACCTCTGAAAGCTCCTGCGCTCCTAAAACCAAGAACATTCATTCGAAAGACGGACGTTGGCTGGAGGTTCGGGGCTTCAGGCTTTGATGGGTCTTCGGCTCATGACGTCTACTTGGTGAAAGCACCGGATTGTTGGCAGAAGTGCTCATGGAAGTCCTGCGTCGTGTTCCAAAGTCCGAACCTGCAAAGCTGCAAACCCAAACCCTGAGAACCCCAATAACCGAAAACCCAAAATCAAAACCCCAAACCCTAAACCAAAAGACCCTACACCCCAAACCCTACACCCAAAAACCCTAAGACCCTAAACCCTAAACCCTGAACCCAAAAAGGCCCTAACCCCAACAGCCTCGCGAGAGGGCCCGTAGAGTTTCAGTCGCTGGCAATGAAGGAAGAGGCGGCTGCACCAGGAAACCCTGCATGTACTATGACATACTGTTGATGGACAAAATCCTGCATGACCCTGAGGACTCTAAACTATGGGAACTATGGTATATTCCTTATAATAGGTAATGCAGGATTTTGTCCATCAACAGTACCATTACGTACTGATAATATACGATACTGCACTGTATTAAACTATGGTATACCGTAATGTACTACTATATTAATTGTGACTGTATGCAATAAACTCTGGGTGGTAGACCTTGGGCCAGTGGATTTGGGCCCACTGTCCTACAGGTGTTTTGCTCAGTTGGGTATGGCTGCAGAGCTGAGGGGTGAGACCTGAAGCCAAGCTTGCTGTTTGAACGGTCAAGTTTACGGTTTAGGGTCGGGGGTTTAGTGCCAGACTTGTGAAACCGCAAGCCTTTAACTGTTGGCTTCGGACTTGGGTTTGGGGTTCGCGGATGTTTGGTTTTCGATGCGAGAAGCCCATGGAGTACCTTCTGGATACTCTCATTCTCCCAAACCGAAATTGTAGGACCCTAGGACTCTACGACCCTAAGACCTTGAACCTCAAAGCCATGAAGATCCCCCACCTAGACTCAGAACCTCCCAAAGCCCCAAAGCGAAGTTCGACCTCTGAGCTCCGTAGAGGTGATCCCCTACCTCAGCAACGCGTCAGCTGTTGCAAGATGTATGGAGGGTTTGATGAGGGTGATCCGACCTTATAAGCATTTCGAAAGCTGCTTCTTAGCGTCATGGTGCCAGCTTGCGAATCAGCATTGTAGGATGTAAGGATCCTTGTATCTTGCAGAGAGTCTCAGGCTAGGAACACAGCTTCGGGCTGGCAGATATGCAGGGGAAGACTCTTTCGGATGAGGCTGAATTCTGTAAGTCTGAAGAATTCGACAGCAATTTTCTTCCTAGCCATGACAGCGACTGTCCGTAAGGTTTTACACGGGTTGCTTTTTGGTTCACCATCAAGGCTCTATGAGGGTTCCCACAGTAAGGGGTTTGTTTAGTCAGCCGCAGAGGAGGGTCAGGCATGAAGCACTTGGAGCAATAGGTCAGGGTTCCCAATAAAGTCTGGGATTGTTGGTGCCTGTATCCCTCGGCCCACTGCTAGGAAGTCAGAAGTTCCTTCTACAACTCGGGGTTCAGGGTGTGGGGTTTCTGAGCTTAGGGTTCAGGGCGCAGGCTTTGAGGGCTAGGTGAGGCTTTAGGGCAAAAGGCTCAGGGCCTCAGGGCACTAGGGCTTTAGGATTCCGGGGTGTAGGGTCTAATGGTTCACGATTCAAGCGTTCAGGGTTTCGGATTTCAGGGTTTAGGGCTTAACGCTTGAGGGTTTAGGGGTTTACGGGTGAAGCCTTCTGGGGCTGCCTGGGCTTTAGGCTCGGGCAGTAGGGTCTAGGCGTTACCGTTAGTGTTTAGGCTTTAGAGTCTAGGTTTTGCTCTTCTGGTTCTTAAGCAAAAAAATGCCTCTGCCCACACCTGCGAGAGGCTGTTTGCGTCGTGACGAAGCTGTCGGAATCACCTTCGGACCTTCTGAACTTACGACAACGCTGAAATTGAGTCCAAACCCGAGAACCCCGATCGCTAAGCCCAGGCGAAAAAAAGTCGGAAACACCTAGACTACCAAGAAGAAGCCTACATCAGAGAACCCTGAGCCCGACCCTACACCCACCCTAAAATGCGAAGCCGCAAACCCTAAACGGCCCTAAACCCGAAACCCTGAAGGTTGAACCCGAAACCCCGAAACCCCCAAAACCCCCAAACCCCGGCAAAACGCGCTCATTGCCGCCATCGTCGCCAGAGGGGCGCCCTGAGAAGCGAGGTGAGCTCGGATCTGGTGCAATCGGCCTTCAGGGCTTACTTGGAGGGGCTTTAGGGGACTTAGTGAGGGCTCCTTAAAGGGATCCTTAAAGGGATCTATAGGGTTCCTTAAAAGGGATCTGTCCTTCAGGGCTTTAGGGGATGGCACAGGCTTTCTCGCATTTAGGTTTGAGGGCTCGGGGCTTAGGGCGTCAAGCTCTAGGGTTTAGAGTTTGGGTGCAGGGATTCGGATCTGGGTTCAAAGCTTAAAGGGAACTCCAGAAAGTTGGAATATGGTTTCAGGGTAGGATACCTTATAATTTACCATAAAGGGTTAGGGATAACCATATTCCAACTTTCTGGCTTTTACTTTAGGGGCTTAGGGGTTTAGGGTTGTTTGGGGTTTGGGGGTTGTGGGGCTTAGGGGTTTTGGAGTTTAGGGGTTTAAGGCTGTAGGGTTTGTGCATAATTCGGTCGGAAAAGTAGCTATTGCACATCCATTTGCGAACTGAAGGAACAATCGTGCTTCCAGCATACATCCTATGTACCTGCTTATCGCCTGGCCTATTGCATATATCATTGATCGCTAAGACTTACTGACATCTTGCCTCTCAACTGCTGGGTTTAAACTGCAGTTTGCTACTTCATGGTTCTGATTCTTCGGGTCGTTACTGTTTCCCCTTGAATGGAACAGTAAACACTACGTGTCAGTACAATGTTGTTGCTACCAGTATGTTGGCACGATCATGACTATGTCGTTGCTGCCTCTGAACTTGCACTTCACCCAAAAGGGCTAAGAAGAGGCATTTAAGCGACACCCTGCTGCGCAGGGCTCACACATGATTGTCTTCCACAGTCCGATGCACCGAACCCTCTCCCTGAAAAAACTACAAACCTCAACCTCCAGCCTCAGCCTCAGCCTCTATCTGGACTCCCAAGCTGTTGGCGTAAAGTGCTTTCCCCAAGCTGTCTCCTCTGGTGCAGCCTCCGCATGACACCTGGTCTCACATAGCCCCTGCCTGTGCGAGGTCGTGCCTCAAGCAAAGACAGCTGCGACGTAGCCTTAGTGACGGATTCCGTGAAGCCTTCGGGTGTCAAGGGAGCTTGTGGCCTTGAGAGCTTGTGGGATGCTTGAGTAATTTCGGGTCAAGGGATCACGAAGCCATGCGCGCGGCGATGTCATGCTGAGCTCGAAGCGTCGGCGAAGACCGCCAGGACCGCGAAGTCCGTCCGGGCCCTCTTGCCTTCCGGCGATGGCACGGCCCGGCTGCTGCTCCGGCTCGTGGCGACGACCTTCAGCGGCAGCTCCACGCTCCCTTCGGCTCCGACCTCACCCAGTGCCCCGCTCTCTCCGCTCGCTGCGTTCGTCTGGCAGAGGCAGAGGTAGGTCTTCTCCACCAAGGAATGGGCCGCGAACTGGGCCAGGTACCAGCGGGCTTCCGGGCTCTGCTCGGCGCCCAACGCTGCAGGCAAAACCCCAGAGGTGGGGAGATCCAGGCGAGACACGGAGAAGAGCGGTTTCGACAAGGACGCGGCCATCACCTCCAAGGCCTTCTCTGAGGAGATGCCCGCCGGCTTCGCCACGGCCACCAAGCCCTCACCCTCTCCTTCGAAGAGCAGCGGCAAAGTGGGCAAGAGAGCTTCGAGCTCCCTCGGCTCGAGGCCGCTTCCGGTGAACTCGTGCCTGGTCTTGTAGTCCGGGTCTGGCATGCTCCTGGATTTCTCCTGGGACGCCCGGGCCCAGAACTGGTAAAAGTCCCGTAGCAAATCCAGGGACCGCTCCCAGCAACTCTCTTCGGACATGGCCTTCAGCACGGAGCCGACATGCAGGCCGTGGGGCATCCAGCTTCGCTCCAAGCACTGAGCCAAGAGAGCTAAGGCCAGCTCCCAACGACACTCCAAAGCCCCCAAAGCCGCGGCCAAGGTGATGGAATCCAAGCGCAAACCCCTCTTCTCAACCTCGGCGAGCAGCGAGAGAGCCTGGGCCCAGCGCTCGCCCTCCCCCTCGACGCTGAGGGCGTGCAGGGCGGCGTTCACGGTGATGATGCTCTTGGACACGCTCGCGGCGCCCATCTCCGCCAGAAGGCCCATCGCCTTCTCGGGGAAAGCCTCGCAGGCCCGGATGGCAGCGTTGAAGGTGACTTCGTTGGGCTCCACGCGGACCCGCCGCATCTCCCGCAGACTCGCCAAGGCTCCCTCCCAGCGCGTGGCGCGCTCGCAGGCCGTCACGCAGACGCTGAAGCTGAAGGCGTCCGGCTCGAGCTCCGCGGCGCAGGCTCGCTCGAGCAGCTCGGCGCCCCGCTGCCACTGGCCGGCGGCGGAGCACACGCCCAGCACCTCAAGTTATGAACAACCCATCCCCGTCGGCTTTGGGGCCTCAGGGCTCAGCCGAGCACCGTGTTGTAGAGACGAAGATCCGGGAGAATGCCGAGGTCAGGGAGGCTTTCGAGCAAGCGCATGGCCACTGCCCACTTGCCACCTGGAGGAGGAGGCACACAGCATGAGATGAAAAAGACCAGCTAAGCAGTCCGCATGGAAGCTGATGACTTTTCATATCATATCTACAGTCTGCAACAGGCCACGCAGTATCCCCGGCACATCTGTCTAGAACAGGTTGAAATTCTGTCCTGCGAGCAAAGACCAAACGAATGTGATTTCAACCGCACAAAACGCTAAATAATGATGATATCACAGCCCTACACAACCGAGCAAACAAACGTCATTGACAAGCCAATGCACTGATAAACCGAACAACGCTTTCCTTCTCCCAAAAGGCTTGAACTTCGCTTGGATGGCTTGTAACTGGCAATAACTAGCACTACATATCTGACGCAGGCTATGCAATGGCCAGCCGCAGCAAATGCACAAATGACGCAACTCCTTTCGTCCGATCCCAGTCCCATGCCCCCACATGTCTCAGAGAAGAGCCACCTACCTGGTTCACACGAGCGAATCAAAGCATCAAGCACCAAGGCATCCGTCGGCACGGACAGGGTGCTCATGTCCTGGACAAGTCAGAAGAGCACTTCAGTTTCTCCTGCACAGCGAAACCAGCGCAACATGGACTCTTACACCCACAGGGCCCGTGTTCTATCCCAGAACGTTCAGTCAATGAAGTATCTACCCAAGTTTTGAAACAACCCGGTGGTCTTGCGAGCCTCGTGAAGTCCCAATGCCACCTCCCAGCAGCCAGCGCGAGCACAGGCGGTCATTACAGAGCCACACAGGATTGTGTCACACCTGAGGCTGCTGTCTCGAAGGTCCTGGCAAGGTTTGCGACGACAAATACACAGATGGACAAGATTGACATATGAATTCATACACAGATCAATAAATAGGCCAATCTAGCGCACGTTCCGGGCGTATAAGTACGAGCTGTCTGTATTCGTTTTTTGTCGATTGTTAAGTAAGTTGGCTGTTGCATGACTGATGCACTACTGTCTCAGCATGTATTCATGCTAGCCGGTTTGTCGGTCTTTGTATGACTGATGCAGCCCCTAAGCCCGAAACCCTAAACCCTGCAGCCCTATACCCTAAACTTCCCAAGATGGATCCTGGAGCAGCGCCGAAGCCGCGGACCATTGCTGGCCTGCGGCAACAGCCTTAATGGCCGAACTGTAGCTGATGACCGATTTCCGGACCTGGGTTGCGAGAAGATGAAGCTTTGCTGATTCGGGTTTAGGATTTAAGACGCTCTTCCTTTGCTTCGGCGTTGCTGCTGGTACAAACTCAATACCATCGGAGCCGCATCAGCGTGATTCATCTGTTGGAACAAGTGCATGGCCCACCTCCAACAGCCAGCCTTCACCTGGGCTACTTGCAAGGAAGCAATGACAGGGCTCGCTTTGATATGGTAACTTAAGATAAAACTCCTTATCAAGAACCCAGTCACCAGGCTGTCCATGCCAGAATTGCAAAGAGATGTGGTCAATCGCAAGGCATCCTCTGTCTGCTGCAGCAAGGCCAGGATCGATTCCCAAGCAGCTGGAAGGCCGCAAGCTGTAACCTCGGATCTTCTTCGGGAGATTATTGCGAGGTTACGATAGTACTTACTATAGATCGATTACGGTAATTTAAATTAATTCGTTCCTTAACAAAACCCCAGTAACTGCGGTTGAAAGCAAGATGTGGTCAACATCCACACGAACCCGGCACGCATCTTCGAGGACTTGGACAGCTTGCTGCCATTGACGCTGCCGGCCCAGCTGTGCCACCAATTTCGTTGAGGCTTTTACGTTCCAGCTCCCTTGCATCATTTTGCCGACATCCTGGTGCCATGCAAAAGAACGAGACCAAATGCCGGTCTCTAGCCATGGAAAGTTCTGAAACAACAGGAGACCCGCGGTTCGACTAAACTTGCAGATGCAGTTTGAACAAATGGCAATCACCCTGAGACAACACATGAGATTGCTGCTGCTGGAAAACATGTTGACGAGCCAGTTTCCAATATCGGCAGGCAAACAAGGAAATGCCACGTCAACCTCTCAGCCAACTTCCTTGAACAGATTCTACAGGTGCCGTTGAAGCACATTACATACACAGACAGATGCATCAGATTGCAGGGTCGAACTTCCACACCAATCAGTCACTTCTAAAGCGACTTCGTCCTCTTCCTGTCTGTCCGAGAAAACATTTCTTCTGGATTTCACTCATTTTCTTCGCTTTGAAAAAGTCGGTGGCTTTCTAACCGCAAAGTCCGCTAGAACACGCGGAACAGAAGCAGACAGCTGACTGTGTGCGGTGACCCTTGAATAATTTTATTGGATTTCAAGGGGCTTTGAGAACTGGACGCAGGATGCTGCCAGCCATATGCGCGAAGACTGTAAAGGCCACTAAACACTCTCCCGCGTGCTCTGTTGAATGCACCCTGCCTGGTACTAGGCTTGCCTGGTACCAAGCTTGCCTGGTGCTTGCCTGGTACCAGGCTTGGGTGGTAGGTACCAAGCTTGCCTGGTCCCAGGCTCGGGTGGTACCAGGCTTTGGGTGGTGACGCGGGGACGACCGGAGACTTGTCTTGGACTCCACCCCTCCTCGGGGCAGTTTGAAGCGATGGCTTATCTACTCCTGATCAGCTGCTCAGCCAGACCATAGCAAGGTAGAGGACTGAACGGCTACAGCCGACCAAGTCAGCCCACCGCAATCCATTAGTCGTTTTCACGCTTCATGGTCTTTGAGCTCTTGTTTCACCGCTTTCTTTAGTGTTTATTTTTTTCGCGTTGTTTCGTGGTTTAGATAGAGACTGAGTGCAGTTGATGCTGTCGACAAAGCCCACGCAAGCCAAAAAAAACATAGTAATTGAAAAAGCATGAGTTTGGAGATGTATACGTCAACGGCATCATTGGAATTGCGCAACTTTTGCAGCCGTCTCCACCCACTATGAGATACGGAAGATTTCGGTTGCAGAAATCGGAATCATCCATCGACGTCATGCGGGGCTGCATCCGGCGACACTTCGGCGAAGGGGGCTTCGAAGACTTCGAAGGGGGGGGGTTCGAAGGTTTCGAAGGCGAGGACGAAAGCTTCGAAGGCTTCGAATGGGATTCCTAAAGAGGGCTTCGAAGGCTTCGAAAGGTGAGGCTAAAGGCTTCGAAGGCTTTGAAGGTCAGGGATGAAGAGGCTGGTTACAATAACAACAAGGTCCGTGGCCCCCACCCACCCCCCCACCGCCCGTTTTCCCCCTCTCCCCCAGCCTCCTTCCCCCCCACTCCACCCCCCGACCCCCCGCCCTCACCCCGCCCCAGCCTGCCCCTGCCAATAATCCTGATAGAAAAATTGGCAAAAGAAACGTATCCTCCGACAGCGGAAGCCAGTGTATCTGGGGGATAAGCGCAGAAAAACATAAGTTTGCTTTTGTGGAAAGGTTTGCCAAATCTGCGCCTTCTCCAACCTTCCGCTGTTTTTGGACTGCAAACGCACTGCTTTGATCTTGCAAAGACGAATACAAATGTTTCCATCTCTCGAAGTGCTGGGCTGCAATACTTTGCGGTCTGCATCCAAAGATTCGCCATTTGGGCGCCTCCCTAAAGGAAGTCTAGATCACGAGCTCGTCTGAAGCGATTCATTTGATGCGGAGTGGGTCTTCTTGCATTTGCTCGACGATACAGGAAAACACCATTTTTCAGACATAGTCGCTGCTGGCATCATGAACGATGACTGTTCATAAGCTGGTCGAATGTGGCGGGCACTGGGAGTGTCAAACGTGCGACTGGAATTCTTCATAGTGGCAATATTGGAGGGAGAAAATCCTTTGTTTGAATCCAGGATTCAGGTGGCTTTGCATGTGATTTTGGAAGCTTCGATCAGGAGAGCGAAGTTTACCGCGACTTATCGAATGAGTACACTCTTGGTCCTCATCCAGCCCACAAGCGGTGGCGTCAAGAAGGGCGAGTCCCCGTCGGACAACGGTCAGGCCTCATGTCTTGTTTTTTCGCGAAGTCGCGCACACCAAAATCCAAAAGTCCAATGACAAGAGGCAAGGTGGCAAGGGCAGAAAGCTCAGATGGTCTGGGTGGGTGGCATCAGTGTGACATCTCCGACCCCATATCTGCGGAAGTGGGCCACTGGGCAGCGGACTCGAGCTTTGGGTGCCGCATGGACCTCCAGCAGCTTGTGATAAAGATCTCCGGAAGGCCGGATCTCACGCCTCCGTCTTTGAGACGGCGGCCGGAGCCTTGCTTTTTGGTTCCACTCGTTGTTTAGGGTGACTTCGGTCCGCTGTTGCCTCCGCTTGAGATCGCTGAGCGAGCTTACGTTCTGGGGAGGCCCCTGTGGCGCACCCGTTTTCGAAGGGTTTTTCGGTCTCGAACATGAGCCCGTCAAATCTGTCAAAATGAAGGTCGAAACAAGGTCCGGGATACTCTGCAGGCTCCCATGGAGTAACGAATTCGTAGCAACTGCTACAGTTTCAGCTACTCCGTACCCCACTACTCCGCGCGATTTTGCAGAGCCGCTGAGACGTTTTGACTTGCTTCAAACTTTTTTTTTGCAAGCGCAGGGTCCACGAAGGTCCCGTCTGCACCGACCGTTTCAGGTGCGCTTGTGTGGTTTACGGCTTGGTTTGTGAACAACAGAAACCCAAAAGGCTCTATTTCTGGCAACACTCGAGACTTGGCGGTACAAAGGAGTGTTGTCCATCCATACCATCGAATGAGAAGAGTGCTCCTACGGATGTCGGTTGCTGTCGGAATAGCAAAGAAACTATGATCGATTGAGGAATGCGGCGGGGCTGCATCTGACTGTAAGTGTGCAAGACGAGGCGAAGCCTCAACTAAACAAGATTCTGCCCAATGTGTCTTGGGTCTACCTACCCTATTAGGGCCTCTAGTGTGGCGATATGCCGCTGAGGGCATAAAAGTCGACTGGAATTCCAGCGAATCCGGATGTCGATATAAGTTACCAAGGAGATAACTATACCAACTTCTTCTGTTCTGACTTACTAAAACGTCGCATGGATTAACGAATTCGTAGCAACTGCTACAGTTTCAGCTACTCCGTACCCCACTACTCCGCGCGACTCTGCAGGCCGCTGAGACGTTTTGACTTGCTTCAAACTATACCAACTCTTTCTATTCTGACTTACTAAAACGTCGCATGGAGTAACGAATTCGTAGCAACTGCTACAGTTTCAGCTACTCCGTACCCCACTACTCCGCGCGACTCTGCAGGGCCGCTGAGACGTTTTGATTTGCTTCAAACTATACCAACTCTTTCTATTCTGGTTTACTACAACCTCGCATGGAGTAACGAATTCGTAGCAACTGCTACACTTTCAGCTACTCCGTACCCCACTACTCCGCGCGACTCTGCAGGGCCGCTGAGACGTTTTGATTTGCTTCAAATTATACCAACTCTTTCTATTCTGATTTACTAAAAGGTCGCATGGAGTAACGAATTCGTAGCAACTGCCACAGTTTCAAGTACTCCGTACCCACTACTCCGCACGACTCGGTCAGAAGGTACGGCAAATTCCTCGCAAATACTAGCTTTTTTACCACATCCTAAAACACAGCTCTTTCTATTCTGAATTACTAAAACGTCGCATGGAGTACGAATTCGTAGCAATTAGTTTCAGCTGCTCCGTCCTCCACTACTCCGCGCGACTCTGTGAAGGTGATTCAAGACTCTTCAAATGGGAGTGGAGGAACAAGGGCACTCCACGAAGCTGTCAAGAATCGGAGCCGCATCCATGCAATCACTTCCAAGAAAAATGCGATGAACACCTGGACCTGTTTGAAAGTTCCACGACAACTTCTTTGTTTTTGAAGTGTCAGCAGGCCTCATTGGCTGCGGCTGCAGTTCTCAGTTCCGGAACTAGGCCCAAGAAAATCCACAGTGGACTTTGAGGTGTCTAGACGGTCTCACTGGATTGGCACTGGCCGTGTTGTGTTCCATGAAATCCTCTCTAACCAAGTGGCTAAAAATAATTGTCGACATATCCTCTGGGTGATGATTGGCGCCAACTCGTTGCTTAGTCCACTCTGTCAGACTGGCTGAGCGCTTTGCCCACCAAGAAGTTAAGTTACCTGATTTACCACAATAACCAGACGACTCCACCGTCCAAGTACTCACTCGACGCGTTCGTCCGAAGACCAGTTTCCGACTTGGCGACTACCAAGACAATCCTGTTCGCCAGCGACTCATCACCGAGCCTGTGAACGACTACGGTGACGAAGGAGATGTTCAACAACCCGGAACTGCATCTACCACCCCCGCTCGAATCTTAACCTCCTCTGGAGATGCTTCTCCCAAGCGCTCCAAGCAAGAGTTCCCGCAGGACCAAGACGATGATGCTCTACATGCACAAAGGGATTGACTTCTTTTCTGCAATTGAGGAGACGCATGAGTTTCTCAAGGTGGAGTTCGAGCTTGGGTTCTTGTCCTCGAACCGACAAAGGAAGATGTTCGAAAGGAATCATCAAGCATTCCTGGTGAAGAAGATGCGGGACTCTGAGGTTGTGATCACCAAGGTTCCTCCTCATGAGCGCGCTCTCTTTGACCGGGCCAAAGTGAAGGAGGTGAGTGCCTCCATCCCCAAGTCCGCAAAGGCCTTGACTCGTCTGAAGTCAAGGAGGCCATGGACTCCCAGTGTATCATCAGGCTCGCAGGGTACTCACGTGGAAGCTGATACCACCCGAGAAACAGGCAAGCACGACGTGATGCGCTTGAAAATCCCAAGACGACAAGCGTTATTGATGGAACCCGAAAAGCAAAGGCGAGAATCGTTCTGCTTGGATTCCAGCATCCGGGGCTTCTGGAC